GGCGTTGTAGACAACATCAATTATCCTTGTTTTGCGAGTACAACATTCAGAGCCCCAGGAGAAGTTCCCCACATCCAATCTTAGGGCACGGTACTTCTTGTTGCCTCCTCTCACACGAACTGTGTGTATACGTCGGGGGCCAATCTTAGTGTTGGCAGCCGGGCGTCCCAGCTCATACTTCCGCTTCTTGTGATAGGGCTTTCTCTTGCCCCTGGTCTTGCGGCGCTTGTGCCAGTTGTCCCGGGAGATGCCCATGGCTCCGCACTGCCTGTAAAGAGCGAAGCTTGTTTTTTTAGTGATTGCTTTTAGTCTCAATGCCACCATATTAGTTACACTCTGTGCCTAATATTGGTTATTTCTCTGAGATTTCTTTGCTTTCCCTTTCCTCTTTCATGTTTCTTTTGGTATCTGGTATCTTGGTATCTTGGTGCACATTGAGTACGCCCTAACCTAACTGCAGTCCTGTGACGCCATAACAAAACGCTGCTGGATCCTGGTCAGCCTCACTCACTCTGCTGTGCTTGGGCCACCAGTTGCAACCACAGTGTCTGTTCACCTCACTGACAGCTGGAAGACCTCTACAAACCCTCTCCTTCACTAAACATAATGTCCCACTCCAGGGACTTAGACTGTTCAGTCTCTGGGAGTGAGGACTCTAGATGAAGTCTCACCACCCTTCTTTTCTGGCTTTCCCTTCCCTGCCATGTTGAGTAGTTGCTCATATCTGAGCTCATAGTAGGGGCAATCACAGGTAGACTTAAGAAAAAGAGGAACAAACTTTTCCTAGAAAAACCTCTAGAAAATGTCCAGTTGGTTTCAGAACTCAGCAACCCACCCCTCTGTAGGGTAATCATGTTGGACTTGCCTTGTTGCTATCAGAGACACCTTCCACCCAGGGTATGTTGACTGGGTGTGTAGCATCCACTCAGGATGTCCTGAGTCGGCTGTGCTCAGTGCCCACAGGAGGGGACAGCAGATCAACCAGAACTAATTTTCTGAGAGGCCTGTCTTGTTGGTTGTAGATGCTTGACCTCTGAGGACCCCAGACACACAGACTCCACTGTGAAGGGGCCTTCTGGAGTGATTTGCATGAGCTTTGCAATCAGGAGTGTCTGTTGAAGAAGGAGCCACTGGCATACTCCAAGGAGGACCCCAGAAAGGTCTACCATATGGGCAGTAGTGGTCTGTCTTGTCTCTGTGTAGACAGGGGCTGTGGTGGACAGGCATGAGCTTGGTCATCTTGGAAGTGGGCTTTGTTCTGAACTCACTACCTCAGTCCATAACTGCAAGTGCCCATGTGCTTGGTGAGGACAAGGATTTCGGAAGAAACAATTCATGGTTGATTTTCTGATACTCTACTCCCTCAAAGGCCAGCACCTTTCTGTTTGCAAGCGAGGGTCACATTTTACCTCCTTCCTAGAATTGCACTTGGTCATTCTTATAGCTTGCTTCATGTCCAAATGGATGGGAGTAATCTGTTTCTATTGGTGTAGATCCTTGAGCATCTGACAGTATATGTGCAGGGGTGGAGAGCATGGTCCACACAGAGTTGTGACTGTGTATCCACAAGCCTGGTTCTGTGGACCTTCTTTCCTGGGGTCAGCAGTGTTTTGTAGCAAACACCAGTTTTCATGGTCTGAGGAGGGCAGGTAAGAGACTGTTCTTACATATGTACTCACCTGTGGGGATTGTCCAACTCCAATATGAGCACTTAGCAGTTCCTCTAAGTTCTTTACTTAAATGCCTTGTCTCTTCCAAGTAGAATCTGATTGGTGTATGAGCAAATACAACAATCTTTTAAGAAGTTATAAAAAAGGTAATGGTTCTGATTATATTGAGTTCTTTCCGCTTAGATGGGGTAGTGATAGCAAATACGTTCTAAAACTCTTGATAGCAGACAGATGGCATATTCATTACCCAAAAGGTTTTTCAGGCTGAAGTAATAAAATTGCTGATGAGGTTGTGACTCATGCTGCCTATAACTCATTTGGTGATGGATTTTAGCATTTAAATTTAGGATTCATCTCAGATTATAAATATAATGAATATATTCAGAATAAATCTGGAAAATATATTTAAAAGAAAGTATAGATAAAAGAAACACACTTCTGCCCCATCATAAAGAACTGGTTCCACTTCGCCCACATTCACAAACCACTGCCTCTCCAATGTCCCCACAGCCTGAGTGGCAGCCTGATCCACAGTGGCATTTCTTAGAAGTTAAGTCCTTGGAGGCTAGTCTTCTTGACCAGAGTAAAACCAGTTACTATTCTCTTTAGTTTACTAGAAGAATTAGTAAATCTTCCATTTATAGACTGTTTTCATTCTAACATTTGACCCACAGAAAAGTATGACGATCTAAGCTCATCCGACGAATCCTGCTCTGTTCCTCAGAGGCAGAGGCCATGTCGGAAAAAGGGCCTCAGTATCCATGACGGGCCTCGTGCCTTGGCCAGAATCACCGCCATTGGGCTTGGGGGCAGGAGCCAGCTGCCTTGCTACGGTGAGTGTCTCCCCCGCCACCCCCAAGGGTCTACTCCCTTACTATTGTGACTGCACTCGGCCCCTGATGCCTTGGGTCCTAGGCATCTCCCACTGGGTAAAGTCTCAGAGTTTAGCTCAGGCATCCTGCTTGTTCATGTGGATCACCTAGCACAGGGAAGCAGCACTGTTAAAGACTTCATTAGTGGGGATTACTACATTCCATCAGATCTAAGTCAGAAGTGCCAAACCAGAAAATGCTAGTAGCTAGGTTGAAACCACCACCTGGGCCAACGTCCTGACCAGTCTTGGGCTGTCTGTGACTGCCTCAGGGAAATGAGTGTGGCTAAGCTATATGTCCCTTCTCTTCACAGAGCAGGTGCCTCCACGGGGTTATGTCACCTTCCACAGCAGTGATGAGAACCCACTAGGAGGGGACCTTTGCCACCGGGATGTCACTTCCCCCATTAATGACCGTGATGTGGAGAGCAGCAGCAGCAGCAGCAGGGGTAGGCATGCCCATTCCCTGAATGCCTCTGGCCTACATTCACCTCCACCAGACTCCAGGCTGAGGAATTCCCATTCTACCCCACCCACCCTGCATGGAGTTGGCCCTGGCATCCTGCTGATGGACAGTCATATGGCAAGCAGTATAAAGGGTGCTGCTCTCCCTCGGACAATCAGTCAGCTTTGGGGCTACTCCAGGTGGGTCAGGGAGTGGTGCTAGAAGGCTTGCCTCTTGACCTGTGAGTCTTTTCCTCATGTTTCTCCATGAGGGAAGTGTCTTGTAAGAACAGTATGTACTCACCCAGCATCTGCTTACTGAGTACCCACTCGGCCAACCATCAGCCTTAGCACTGGCACAAAAAGATGAGCTTTGCTCTGTGTGTGGAGGCTGGGAGGGGGGGTGCGATATAAAAAGCAAAGATCTGTTCCGAGGCCTAGGGGTGCCCCTTGTGCAGTCACTCCAAGAGCCCACTGGTCATCTGGTCTTCACTGTTACCAGAAGAACACGTCTTCTGTGCCAACTGTGGTACTGGCCGGAGCAGCAGCAGTGAGAGGCTGGTTAGAACCCCGGGCCTCAGCAGCGAGGCCTCTCTGGAGAGCAATGAGGTGAGGTTTATCTTTTTCTTTTGGTTCCCTGTATCCTCTCCTAGTCCTATGGGGGACATCCAGCAATTTCAAACAAGCAAGGGGAAGGTCACAGTGCCTCTCACCAAGGACATCCCCATGTGGCAGATGGGATGTCATGACCAGTGCAAACCAGTATCCCCCTATCCCCACCCCAAGAGGGTACAGATGAAAACACAGAAGCCCTGGCAGAACTCAAATTTTAGGGGCAGCAGGCTGGTTGAGAGCCCTCGCAGACACTCCAGGGTCTCCTTAAAAATATGCCTCTCACCCCAGGATTCAGACCAGGCCCAGAAAAGCTCAGTTCGCAAACAAACAAAAAGCTACATGAAGACCAAGAGCCGTTTCAGCCACACTGACAGCCAGTGGTCTCCCAGCACCAGCTGCCCTTCGGGATCCAGCCCCCAAGCCCAAAGGCCTGCCTACACAGGACCCCAGGTGATGGCCCTTTGTGTGACGAGCAAGACATGCTTTGTGGGTTTTAAGTTGATTCTGACTCAGTATCTCTGAGCTACGATGGCCCCTGAACTGGATGGGCCTGCTGCTGAACCTGTCCACTCTACAGAAAGCAATGCTTCTCCTTGACGGTAGAGCAGGGCTGTTTGGGGAAAGCAGTTACAGACTAGTAGTGTTCAAACTGTAGATGCTGAGACAGTAGGTGACATCTCAGGCAGGTAACATAAACCGCATGCTTAAAGGAGGATCTGCAGGTCTAGTCCATAGGGGTGTGTCACACCTCTCTGGGGTCTGATGGACAGTTTCTTTCCATGCGAGTTGAGTTCCAACTCAACAGCAATGAATTATGGGTTTTGTTTTGAAAAGCTTATAAGGAGACTAGGGATGTAATGGTGTTAATACAGTTCTGGAAATATAAAAGGCTTTAAGTTTCAGGTCCACATGCATGCTCAGGAAAGACTCCCTGTAGCCCTCAATTCTCATGAACGACCCTGAAGCTCAGAGCAAGCTTAAGGCAGTACTATCCACAGCTTGGCATGTGTCCCCAGGCATGTCCCAGCATAGAGCTGCTCAGGTCAAACTGGTGCCAGATGTTCAGGGAACTCTGTCCAGTTATTAGCTGACACACATGACAAGGACCCCATCAAGTGCAGCACGGCTCAGAGTGGGAGGCAGAATCAGGGCCAACAACCTCATCTTTATGCCCGTGTCCCCTGCCAGGACCTGCCCACACTGTTGGAGCAGATCGGATGTCTTAAGTACCTGCAGGTGTTCCAAGAACAGGATGTGGACCTCCGCATCTTCTTGACCCTCACTGAAAGTGACCTGAAGGAGCTCGGTGTCACGTGAGTGCTGCCCCAGGCCATCTTCATGGCATGTCAGCTCCTGAGGCCAAGACTGGCCTTGCCCTCAGACTTTCACACCAGTTAATGTCTGCAACTTTCCAACCTTGACCAAGCCTTGAGTGGGGGCTCTGGCATTCACAGCAGCAAGGCCAATGGGGTCCTCTTCCCAGCCTCTCCTGTCCCTAGCATCTTCATGAACAAATGCTGACCAGTGCCTGCCCTCCTCACCTGCAGGTTGTTTGGGCCCAAAAGGAAGATGACCTCTGCCATTGCCCGCTGGCACAGTAGTGCCCACCCCCCGGGGGACGCTCTGGAGCTGGCCTATGCTGACCGTCTTGAGGCGGAAATGCAAGAACTGGCCATTCAACTGCACAAAGTATGTGGCCAGGATGAGCAGAGGGGCCTGGGCAAATAGAGATGCAGGACAGAGGGCTCTCAGAGTAAGAGGTGTCTGGTGAGACAAGGCGGGGAAGGGTGAGGTGTGGAGCTTGGAAGCCTCAGTTCATAGGGAGGGTCCCACTGAGCAGCCCAGAGCAGGGCTCCCAGAGGGCTGGAGAAGAGGTGTCCAGGTCTGAAGTCTAATGGGCAGGGAGCACCCCAGCAATGTCCTCTGTCACAGCGCTGTGAGGAGGTGGAGGCTGTACGGGGCCAAGTGTCACAGGAACAGGAGCTGCGGGCTGTGGTGGAGGGCTGTCTCCTGGAGCAAGACAGTGCCCGCAAGGCCACACACGCTCAGCTCCAGGAGACCAGGGCTGTTGTCATGGATGCCACCCTTGTCCTGGACCAGCTGCGGTGAGCAGTCCTGGGGCTCCCTGGCTGCATTTTCCCAATGGGCTGTTCTTAGGGTCCCGACACATACCTTACCTATTTGCTCTGCCTGTGCACCTGTCATCCCCCCTACCCTTGTCACAGCTCAAGACCCCTTCTAACCAGTCCAGGGCTTGTGTCCACAGAGCCTGCCAAGCAGAGCTATCGGCCCGGGTGCAGCAGAATGAGTCTCCAGGTGGCACAGCCCTGGGTCCAGCTATCCCCATGTCTGGTAAGGAAGCTGCACCTGACCCACAGGGCAGCATGCCTAGCATATCCATCCCATCAGACAGTCCTGTTAGGGGCCCCTCTGCACACCTCCAGATTGCTGGTAACAGAGGCAAACATGGGTAACATTAGCTGGATGCTGTCCAAGACCCCCCAGGGACCAACACAACCACCTCTTCTCATGGCTTTGCTGGGGATAGTCTAGTGGAGTGGGCAGGCCCTGATTTTTGACATTAACAAGTTGGAAGGGCCCCATGGGGACAGAGAGACACAGGTCAGCAGGCAGAGTCCAGGCCCACAACCCTGCACCCCCAGATTACATGGACTGGCAGGCGTCACTGCGGGCCATGAGCCTGCCGGAGCTGTCGGGGACCCTGGAAGACCGAGTCCGGAAGATGGGTAAGTCTGCTCTGGTGCAAGCTCCTGCAAAGGGGTGGGGGTGGGAGGTGTGGCCACAAACACAGGGTGCCCCCTGAGGGCCAGACTGATCAGTGAGAATCCTCTATATCCAGGTGAGACACCAACCCCCCCAAATGCCCACAACAGGTCTCCCATCCCTAGTGCCCCCTGGACTCTCCCTAGCCCTCACTACAGGGCAGTGACCACCATCCTCATCCTCAGGACAGGCACTATGCTTGGTGACCCAGAGCCTGGAGAAGTTGCAAGAGCTGAATGGGCACCAGAGCTGGCGGGAGCCGTAGCTGTAAGTGGTGAGTGGGCAGGCAGTGAATGGGCAAGAGGACTTTGCCTGGGGTGCCTCCATTTTGTCCCTACTTTCTCACTCACTGGGGCCTTTCTCCCTAGAATCTGACGTCGGGTGACTTATCCACCCTGAAGCTACACCAGGAAGGCATCTGGAACAGGATCTGCGGTGGCCCAGGGCACAGAGGCGGGCAGGCCCAAGGGGCCAGTGGCAGGGCGGGCGGAGTATGCAGAACTAGTGGTAAGGCCATGTGTGGGCAGCTCTGGCTAGGGCACTGGGGCCAGCACACCCCAGACAGGAGACTCAGGTGTGATTTTGGGTCATTATTGGAGCACCTGGTCAGCACATGTCATTTGCTGGAAAATAAAACTTAAGGTCAACCAGAAGAGGCTCATCTCTGGTCTCAGGCCAGGCAGCAATCATGCCAGGCCATCTCTGCCCAAGTGAGTGGCTGCTCTGGACCTGGGGCCAGGGCTCTGTTGTGGACTGGCCACTCAGGCCAAGCCAGAGACCACATAGTCTTGTCTCCAACCCTGAAATGTCTGTCCCAGGAGGAACCTGCAATGACTTCTCTAGAGCTGCTGACCATGCTCCAGACTCTCTCCTCAAGCTGGGGCATTTCCAGAATGGGAGTTTAGCTCTGCAAAGCAAGCCTTCCACTGCAGGTCTCAACACAAGCAGCCAGACAAGACACTGCAAAGGACACAGTTGCTTAGACCAGACTGATCGGCTCCCTGTCCAAGGCAAGAGAGTCCAGCCAGCATCTCTCCTGGGCCCCAGTCCCCAAGGAGGACCAGAGAAATGCAGAGGAGCAGTTGCAGACTTTATTGGTCTTTCTCTTCAGTGGGCACTGCCATCAGGAAGCAAGCCCACTTCATCCAGTGTTTACAGAGCAAACACCCCCAATACTACAGCCACCATCAAATTAATAGTATTACCTCCTCCCTACCCAGCTCTCAGGTCCCTGGCTGCTCTGAGGGATGCAGGAACAAGTCAGCCTGGACAAACGTGTCCTTCCCCAGAACAGTCTGTCCTTAGAAGGGCCAAATGTAGTATACATGACATCCCTGGGAAACGCCCAAAGCCTCCACAGAGGCAAATGTGGGGTGGGCAAGCAGCTGGCAGTTTGGCCCTGCACACCTAAGTGCCATCTGGCCTAGCCCACACGGCACTGCTTGAGGCCTCAGGGCGCGCGCGCACACACACACACACACACCCCCTCCCCCAGGAGACACACTTGCATGGGGTCACATCTCAGCCTGCAGAGCACAGTCAGGCGAGTGTCACACACAGCGGGGCAGGGCCTCTCAGGAGGATGCAGGTAGCAGCTTCTCCAGGGCTTTCTTCTGCCGTTCTGTAGCAGCAGCCAGGGCCTCAGCCAGCTTCTCCTCTGGCATCATGTTGAGCACCTTCAGGGCAAAGAGCAGCTGACACTTCGCAGTGCTGATGAAGGCATTGCTAAGGAAGTTGGGGAAGCCTCCCATGCGGTCCTTCTGGGTGTACAGGGGAACGCGCACCAGTCCTAGCACCTGCAGGAGAAGTGTGTTGGCAAGCAGCCAGGCGGGATCCAGCCAGGCGAGATCCCAGCAAGTACCCAGTGACCTCCCCCAAAACGCATGCCTCTGCCACCCCTTCCGGCCTACACCCCGTTCCCCGCTTCCACCCGGGGCACCCCCCACCCCACGCACCACCCCAGGATTGGCAATGGCAGGCAGCAAGGCAGACGTTGGAACACCGCCCCGGTCCCGCCCGCCGCAGAGACGGCGACCCTCCGCTCCACCCGTCCAGCCCGGCGCGGGGACGTGTTACCCATCGGTGCCTTCTGCCGAGCCAGAGCCAACCCGGGGCGGGGCGCGGCCCGGCGGCGGCCCACCTCCAGGCCGTGGTCGCGCGAGTGCACCGCGCTGACCTCCACGGCGTGCAGCTGCTCCAGCGTCAGCTGCCGCGCGTACAGGTGCGCTACGACGCGCTGCGGGCCCTCAGTCAGGTGCGAGCTCAGGTAGTCCGCCTCCGTGAGGCGCAGGCAGCCCAGGCCTAGGCCCAGCACACGGTTCAGCCCGTCCTCCAGTGACCAGAAGCGCCGGTCCACGAAGCCGCCTGGGAAGCCCAGCAGCCCGTCGAAGCGCATCTGCATCTGCAAGGGGAACTGGTCACCGACGAGCTGGGCCTAGGGCCGTGGCCCGCGCGCCCTCCCGCCATCCTCACCAGCACCGAGAAGCGCATAGGAATGCGGCCGAACAACTGCCCGGGGTTGGCGGCATACAACATGGCGTGGCACGAGTGGCTCCAGCCGGGCCCCAAGCGCATCGCATCCACCCGGCTGATTTGTTTCAGCTCGGGGAGCGCCGCCGTCGACATCTTGGCACTGCCCCGACCCACCGGCGCCTGATACCGGAACGCGTGCGCAGGCCTGCCCCCGCCTAATCCGACCAATCCCTACCCAGCGCCCTGTGCAGCCCGCCCCCTGCCAACGAGCACCGAGGCTAAGCCAATGGGGAAGCAGCAGCAAGCAAGGATCCAACAGCTCCACAGACTTCCGGTGTTTGCCTGTGAAAGAACTCTAAGGGTGAACTGCTTGCAGTCCGGCCGGAAGGCTGGTGGCTGTCACTTAAACGGCATGAGCATGCCTCTGTTCCCGCGCCCCGGCTTCCCTCCGCAGTCCTTCCATATGCATCCACATAGCAAGTTGTCCTACAGACGCCCCTGCGTGCAGCCTTCGCACCACGGCGGCGCGCGCTGCTCTAGTCTCCCCGCCACGGAGTCCGGAGCCTTGCTTGCTAAAGCGCGTACTGAGCCCCTAACCTATCCGCAGGCTGGGCCTGGTCTGCTTCCAGAAGAGCGAGGAAGGGCGCCTAGCCCATGCTGCCCCACCGCCGTGTCCACAACCATCCGTCTGCATAGAAGGTGCAGGATCCCTGGACTTCTCCCATTCCCAAGCCAGTTGCGGCCGGAAGGGGCTGCAGTCCTAGCCTGTACCAAACACCTGTGTCAAAGAGGTCTGCCAAGCACCCAGCTGGTGGCAGCCAACTCCTATCCCTGACCCCAGTCTGCTAACCACCACGGATAACCCCCACGGGAAAGGTTGGCATACTTAGCACACGTACTATGCTGAGGGTGGCCCTTGGACACCAGGGAGTCTGAGGGGTTGACATAGTCCCCAAATACAGAGGGATGCTGCTTTTCTGCAGCAGCAGGTCGCACTGCTGAACAGGACAGAGGTAACCAAGTGCAGCCCAAACTCTTCACAGAGGAAGACTGCAAAATGCTTTGGGCAGAGACTGGACAGGGTCCACCAGAGGTTCCCAGCTGTGGCCACCTGCAGAGGTAAGGGCTCAAATGAGACAGCAGCAGGACAGGAAGGGACTAGGTCTGAAAGAAGGCAGCCAGCTTGAACAAGGGTCCTTCCACAGTGCCCAAAGACAGGCCAGAACCTTGGCCTTTGGGACACCGCCTTGCCCCCATCCCCCACCCAGTACATTCCGAAATGAGGCATAAGTGAAAAACAAAGATGTATGCAGTGGTGTGAAGGGGGCCTGACCCAAGGCAGGCCAGGGTCCCACACTCACCCCCTAGGCTGAGGGACCAGATACATAGGACAGAGCAGGGTCTTTGCAGCAGGAAGTGCTGCCTTGTATACTGGGTGGGACCACCAGGATCTCAGGTGACTCATCTCTTGGGGACTACACTGGCCCACTCAACTTATTCTCTGTGAGACCCCTTTGCCTTTACCACCAGTATCAGAGCATGCCTGGCAGTACCTAAAAGATACTGCAGGGCCCCAATGGAAAATCCCAGGCCCACTACCATCGAGGTGATTAACATTTACAGTGACCCTACAGAAGAGAGTAGAAATGCCCCATAGGGTTTCCAAGGTTGTAAATCTTTAAGGAAACTGTCACACCCTTCTTCCATGGAACACCTGGTGGGTTGGAACCTATGACCTTTTTTTTTTTTTAATTTTTTTTTAAATTTGTGTGTGTGTGTGTGTGTGTACCATCAAATCATACCTGACTGGTACAGGAGGAGATTGTCCCTCCTTTCCCGGCAGAGCATCTGGTGGATTTGAACCGTGAGCCTCTGGGATTGTAGTTGCAGCTCCTTGCCACTAGGCCACCAGAGCTCCCCTGGAACCTATAACCTTTTGAGTGCTTAAACCACTGTACCCAAGGGGGCTTTTGCAGGTTCCCAGTGTCCAAGCCCTACCCTGGATCTTACAATCTTCCACATCACTGTTCTTGCCCAGGTACAGAGTCTGCATCAGCTGTTTCCACTCCAGGAACCTCTTCCAGGCCCTCTGCTTCTAGGTCTTAAATCTGGCCGCCTCAGTTGCCACCCAACCTCTCTGGTCAAATTGAATCCCACATGACCTTGATCATATATCAACCATTCACTTCCTTCCCTGGCTTTCTGACAGGGATAGACCCTGTCTGTGTAATGGAGAAGATGCCTGCCCCTTGGGTTCCCATCCTCCCACCCAAGACTCAGTGATGGCAAGAAAAGTAACTGCTCCCACATGCAGTCACCAACACCCTCACCCACTGGAGGACGTCTAGTTGACACTGCCAAGGTACATATGGGGAAACCATGGTTGAGGAAAGGTGACTAGCCAGGGCCATAAGGTGGCACATAAACAGCACTATGAAGGTGTCCAGAACTGGCAGTGACACCTGAGTCTCACCTGACCACCAAACCACAGTGGGTTGATGAGTGAACCAGAGGACTCAAATGCACACCTAGTGGCCACACAAGATGGATTCAACAAGCTATTGCTGCATGATTTTATTACTATAAATATACAGTAAAAACAACAAAAATCTAGGCAGAGTACATCAAGTGATAGCGTAAATCAGCCTGACAGGAGCTGCCCTCCACCTGATGACAAGGGAGACGTGTGAGCACGGGACAGGAGGAAGTGAACTGGGGGAGGCAGGGCTGGGGAAGGCGAGTGTGCAGTGTGCGATAGGAAGAAGACTGGCCAGTGTCCCCTGAACTAGAGGTACAAAGCCAGGGTCAGCCACTTAAGTCACTGGTAGAGACAGAAAGAATCCTAGGATGCTTGCACCCTAGCAGCCACTTGAAACCCCCAACTCCAGACCCCCATAGAGAAGCATTAGGCAGATATCCTTTTCACCTTTCTGCTCCTCAGAGGGTTAGCTGAAAATATATTCCCAAGCTCCCTTGGCCCCAGGTCACCAAAGAGAAATGCACAAGGACACTAATGTGGCACACAGGAGCTAGGGTGACAGTCAAGGGTCCCTCAGGGCGGGAGAGCCAGTGTAGTGGGAGGGCTCTCAGTGTGGGAAACTGAGCAGGTCTCTCAACGGGAGACAGTGGGATAGTGGGAGACCAAGTTGGGGACTCTTGGAGTAGAAGGCTCACACACAAGGGCATTTGAGTCATGTGAACCAGGGCCTCCAAGAACCTGTGCCCAGACCAACACCTGAAATCTGGGGCCATTGCCCATCACACTCCAACCTTGCCTCCAGCCTCCTTGATGCCCTGAGGGCCCCAGCCTCTGGCACAGGGAGGAGCAAAGAGAGGAGCACATGTGGCCAAAGGACTCGGAGTGGCAGCAAATGAGACCCCACTTCCTACGCTCCAGTAAGCAGAGATGGCACTCCACAGCCAGCTGAGGCTCCTCCCCCAGCAGCCTGCCTCCAACCAGCGGCACCAGGAACATTATTCTTCATCTGTACCATTACAAACACGTTGACTGTAGAAAAGGGGTCATCTGGGGCAGTCTGTGTGTTCTCCAACTGAGGGTTGTCCACCCCTCAGAGCCAGCAGCCTTGCATACATACAGATGAGAGGCCAGAATGGCCCTGGGTCCACACAGCCTCCCATCTGGCTCTCAGAGGAGGGTCAGCTCAGTGGTCCCAAGGTCAGGATGGGGGTCACCCAGTGGTAACCAGGGCAACTTCTTGGTGTTCAGGTCATGGGGCATCTCCACACTGGCAGAACATCCTGCAGGCAAAGAACAGAAGGGTTACATCCATCTGTCTGCCACCTGTGGGCCAGGGGTGTACGTACCCTCCATGAGATTGGGCAGGTCACATGTAGAGTGCCTGTGGATTAAGTGCTTGGCGAACACTCTACTGGGACCACCTGGGCTCCAGCCAGCATGGGCACTGTGACCTGGGCACTGCAGGCCACCATCAAGGGCTAAACCCTGATGATGCAGCAGGCACAGCATGCCACCTAACCAGGACTACCACCAACCATGCTCACAGGGACCACCTCACACTTCTCTGGCTGCAGAATGTGAGCAGCTACTCAGTTCCCACTCATCCTGGAGTTCTAAAGGCAAAAGCACCTCCAACCAGCAAGTCAACAAATGCCCTGGAACACCTAGCTCAGTAAGGAGAGGGTGGCCCCACAGGAGCTTGGCTGGGCCACAGGCCAAACAGTTCTCTGCAGCTCCCTTGTCTTAGCCAATGCTGCAGAGGTGGCCAACTTCCTCAAACTATCAGGTTAAGCTACATCAACAGAGAAGGAAAAGTCTACCAGAAGATTCTCTAGGAGAACACAGGTTTGTGTAAGAGGAGAGCTTCATATGAAAGAACAAGGACAAGTTCATGTAAGAGAACAGGTTCCTGTGAGGGGTCATGTTCTTGTGAGCAAAGAGGGCTGTGTGAGAGAACAGGTTCCCATTTGGGGGAATGTTACTCTGAGGGGAGAGGTCTTTGTGAAACGAGTTTCCTACAGGACAGAGATAGTTGATTGGGGGGGGGGTGTTCCTGTAAGGGGACAGTTTCCTGTCAGGGGAGAGGTTAGTGTGAAGGAACAGGTTCCTATGATAGAAGAGGTTCCTGTAAGTAGACAGGTCCCTGTCAGGAGACAAGTTCTTGTCAGGGAGAAGTCCTTGAGAAGATCGGTTCCTGTGAAGGGACAGGATCCTGTGAGGGGAAAGGTCTGTGTGAGAGGCCAAGCATCACCTGGGTGGATACGGCATGGAGCCATACCCACAGCAGGCTCAGGCTGAGTAAACAGCTCTGGGGACTTGATGATGAATGAGGCCCACCCAGTTGGGACCATTAGCCCCTCTCAGTTTAGGGCACAAGTGTATTCAGAATCTAGACCCAAGGGGGCATCTTGGATGGTGAAGGAGACAGGAATACCTCCAGGGACCCCTCTTGCTGTCCCAGCCAAGCCCCCCACCAGAGGCAAGAAAGAAGGTCACGTACCAGCTTACTCCTCTATACCAACAGAGCAGGAGTCAGGGCCCAGGGCTGTCAAAGAGGAGGAGACAGATGGAAGCTCAGTTAGCAAAACACTCTTGAGAGCTACCTGAGCAGTGCCACAGTCCCCTGGGCCCACACAGAGGTCAGCTGAAGAAGGTGACAGTCAACCTGACGCCTGCAATGCCACTTCCATGTCTTCAAAGTTAGGGTTAGGCCAAGGGGAGGAGAGATGGAACCTAAGGCCTGGCACTTAATCCCCACCACCCCACGGGATCCAGGAATCCAGGAGGTTGGGGACACAGGTATTCTTTAGCAGCTATTAAAATCAGGAGAATGTGTACGTGTGTGAATGCACAAGTGTTCACGAGGAAGAATGTGTGTGTGTGTGTGTGTGTGTGTGTGTGTGTGAGAGAGAGAGAGAGAGAGAGAGAGTAGGAGAAAGTGGGGGGGTGTGGAAGCGAGTGTGCATGTGTATGTGTGCAGGAGGGAGCATGTATGAGGGGTGCATGAATGCATTTTCTCAAAGATGCAGAAAAGAGGACCCAGAAGATTGGGAAGAGAGAGCATCCAGGAGCAGAGCAGTAGGTATCAACAAACCTGTAATAGATGTCTCCGGGTGTGCTGAGATGGGGCCCTATGACAACTGAGAACACATGGGGAAAGGCCAAGAGCAAGCACAGGGTTTCCAGCACATCCCTCACTGGGGAAGAGTATGAAGACAAAACCCCTAGCTCGCCTCAAGGAGCCCTGTGATGCAGCAGTTAAGGGCTCAGCTGCAAAATGCAAAGTCAGTGGTTCAAACTCACCAGCCACTCTTCATCTGCTTTTAGAGCCTTGAGAACCTCTTGGGACAGCTCCATTCTGTTCTAATAGGTCACTGTACGTCAGAATCTACTTGGCCACAACGAGCCTGACTTCCCCCCCAGTAACATGTTTCCAACCTCTGGAGCCCAGGACAGGTCTACACAGCACAAAGTTTGTTTTGCTTTTTGTCTTGGAGTCTGGAGATCAGTGACGGCTCTCCTTGTCTTTCAGAAAGATCAATGCTGAACACTAAGGACAAGGAGGGGCCATGGCGGCTGAGCCTGGCTATGGTTCAGAAAGGGCAGGGTCCACATAAATTCAGCCACATGAATTCAGACTTGATCCACCGTGACCATTAATGAAAGCCTGGTCACACACCATCAAGGGCCCACTGACCAAGTGACCCAGGACCTTAGAGTGCTCATCCAAGCAGCCTGGACTCGCCGCAAGCTGAGATTCCGTTTCTACACTTTGACCATTCTGTTCTAATGGAGGCCAATCTCACAGACACACAGGCTGGCTTCAAGACACCATGACCCATGCATTCTACTTACTTCTGGTCCTCACCACTATCCAAGAATCCCCACTTGACTGGACTGGTTGGCGTACAACAGCATAGAGTTCCGAATGTCCCCCAGTGGACACAGGAACATAAAGTGAGCACCTGCTGCTGGAATTCAGTAGCAACCGTCGCTCAATGCAGGGGAATGCAAACCTTGACTCCATAAACAGGGCTGTATCAGGAAGCCGCAACTCCTGCACAGGTTCCTGAGCTGTCCTGAAAACTCCCAAGCCCTCCAGGCCCTGTGAGAGCTGGTGGGACTGGAAAAAGAGTGACTACGGACACCAGATGTGTGCTGTTAGGGTCAGAGAGGGAGACCTGGCCACGACAAGGAAGAAGGAGTGGGGACACTGAGGGATACTTGCCTTATGTCACTATTAACTTCCTTCCTGTACTTTCCCATCTGTCCTACCCTCACAGCCAACTCAGGAGGCTGAACCACCACCTCCCACATCCTGGTTTCCCCTAGGACCAAGGACACCCCACTACTCAAGAGGTGGGGTTCTCACAGGGCACCTGTGACACCAGTTAGGTGAGAGCAAGCATTTCTGAGGTCAGAAGTCACATTATTCCAACTGTGCTTGTCTATCCTCCATGGGGCTGTATCCTCTGTGCCTATAACCAGTGCCCCTCATCGCATCCCATCTAGGAAGCCCTGGGGACCAATGGTTAAAGACTTCAGCTGCTAAACAGAAGGGTCAGCAGTTCAAACTCACCAGAAGGAAAAAAGACGTGGCAGTTTGCTTCTGAAAAGATTGAAAGCCCTGCTAGCGAACTGATCTTGATTCATGGCAACCCTTCATCGGGTTTAGTGGATAGGAGTCTCCATGGGAAAAGACTGCCTATCTTCCCTGAGGATTGACTGCTGGGTTCCAACTGCTAACATCTGTCAACCTTGGGAACTCGCCTGGGTCAGCTGAAACTGTTCTATGAGGTCATGAGAATCAATTCAAGGGCGCTGGGTGTGCTTTTAGGTTTTTCCTATATCCAAGGACCCCAATAACCACTTGGTTTAGGACTTATCAGGGCAGGACTCGAAGGCCTTTCACACCAAAGATAGTCAAAGCTGCCTCCTGCCAACATGGCGACTGAGACCCAGGAGCAGAGGTCTGGGCGAGGCTGGGGTGCAGCTTAGCCAGGCAACCTTCCTGAAGCCCCTTTTCAGTATTATAGCACCTTCAATGAATCACAAGGGATCCAAGAACCCACACTCCACCTCGCTACTGTCGTCCTTGATGGGAACTCATGGTCTGAAGGGAAGACTCTTGTAAGACAAAGGGGCTGAGCTGACTGGGAGGTAGAGAGGAGCAAGACCTTCCCTGAACGTTCTAGGCCCTGACTTGGGACACGCTGCCTGTCCTGGTACCATAGGGCAGGTGGGTGGCCCAGAGGTCACTATCCCTGCTATGCCTGGTTGTCCACTTTTGGGCAGTCTGTAGCTCTGTAGCTCACTTTTGGGTAGGCTGACAGTGGTTTCTGAGTGCAGACACCTCATGGCTGGCCTGTCAGCCTTACTGACCCAGGAACAAAGGACGGAGGGGTGCGTGAACCTGAAATCAGCAGGCCTGCCACCCGTCCACCCACCAGGCCAGAACCCAAAGATGGCACCGTGTCCCAATGCCTAAGGGACTCAGCTGGGAAGGGGGCCTGGCAGATAAACTCAGATCCACAGAACCAGCACCTAGTAGGTGACCGGGGGAGGCATCTGCCTGGCCTAGGTTCTGTGGTGGCTGGAGTGCAGGCACAGGGCTGCGGAGATAGGTGTTCAGGACCAAGGAAAAGTCAGAGCACAAGGGTCCTGGCTAGGTCATCCCCATGACGCAAGTACTGTACCTGGCAGATAGATGTCAGTAAGTGGACCGAGGCCATGGTGCTCAGGGCTGCCGTCCTGCAGGACACTCTCGATGGACAGGGCCTGGTTCCCTGCAGCATGACAGAAAAGTCAAGGGATCCAGGGGCCTCTGTACTCCAGGTGCAGGCTGCCTTCCTATCCAGCCTGAGCGAGCCCTGGAGGCAGATGTCCTTTGCCTCGTTTTCACTCCCAATCCTCCTTCCCTCCCTTCCCCTGCACCTCACCAGCCTCAGCCTGCAGAGAAGACCCCTCAGGAGGGGAGGGCCGAGTTCCGGCCCACACACACTGGGAGACTCCCATGGGGTGGAGGAAGAGGTGACAGGAGACAGAAGTTGATCAGTAACCCAGAGCCTCTGCAAGACTATAGGCAGAGATGACTAGGCACCACATACTGGGCTACGAACCAGAGGTCAGTTGTTCAAACCCAACATATGCTTCCCAGGAGGAAGAGGAATATGCCTGCTCCCATCAGGACAACAATCCTGAGGACCCAATGGACACCTGCTGTGAGCCAGAACAAATTCGAGTGCAGGGAGGACTGGTACACCCTGGGCAGTCCTGGAGGAGGAAGCAGGAACCAAAGGGTCTCCTTGCCCATGGAAACCTCTAGAAGAGCCGTGCTGCCAGGGATAAAAGGGCACACCTTGCTTCAGCGATGACACCTCATCAGCCTCGTCCATGATGAAACTCTACAGAATAGACAGGGAAACTCCAGCTGGAGTGCCAAGCCCAGGACTGGCGTGCCAGCCTTGGCCAAAGCCAGCTCACCAGCAGGCAACTAGGCCACAGCCAAGTAGAGGGTAGAGTCCTGGATCTGCACATCACACCTCCAAACCTCCACCTCAGATTCCACAGCTCGAAGACAGCCAAAATATGGCCTTCCCAGCTTCTGCGAGCAGTGGGATTTCACATGGGGATGCGGACCTGGGTGGCCTAGGACAGGACAGGAGTTCCACAGGGGGTCGGGCAAGTAGAGGAGAGGAGAGGGTTCCTCCACGAGGGTGGGGAGGATGTCAGGTAGGGACAGGAAATGGAGTCCTGGGCTGGGGGTGGTGGTGGAGGGCAGGATAGGCCACAGGGTTCCATAGGGGGATTGGGCAGGGACAGGAGAGGTCATGGGGTTTTAGAGGGTGTGCAGGGACAGGAGAGGACATGAGGTTCCACAGGGGGGATGACTGGGCAGAGACAGGAGAGGATATGTGTTCCACAGGTGGACTTGGCAGGGACAGGAGAGAACATGGATCCCACAGGGGTACCGGGCAGGGACAGGACAGGATGTGGTGTTCTCTCGGGGAAATGCACAGTGACAGGACAGGATGCGTACTTCCACAGGGTGACTGGGCAGGAACAGGACAGGATGTGGGATTCCACGGAGGACTGAGCAGGGTAAGGGCTCACCTCAGGAGAGCTGCTCTCACATAGGCCAGCTCCACTAAGTGGAGGCGGCATGTCTGAATCCTCAGAGAGCTTCTCCTCATCCTCTTCGTGAATCGGGGATGACGGGGACCGCAGAGTGCTGGGGATGGAGGGGATGAAGGGTGAGCATAGACATGGAGAAAGAAGGGCCATTAAAATGACTCCTCACTCCCCTCCAGGGGGTCAATGTGGACAGCCCCTCCTCCACCCTGGGAGATGTTTCTGCAGGCCTTGGATGAAGTAGACCTCGGCTGATAGAAAAGCTCAAGCACATACACCTGGCACAAGTCACAGATCCTTCTGTTCTTAAAGGAGCTCTGGTAGCATGGTGCATCTACGTGTCAGGCTGCTAACTAAAAGGTCACCAGATTGAACCTACCAAATCCTGTCAAGATTTACAGCTTTGGAAACTCAATGGAGGGTAGCTATGAAACTGAACTGGTTTGATGGCAGGGTATTTGTTGGGTTTTAGTTTAAAAAGGAAAGAAAAAGTCTTACGTCTCATGTGTAACAGTCACCACAGTTTAAAAACAAAACAAAAACCACCAAAGTAACATATAGGCTACAAGCGTGTGATGGCTTGAGGTTCTGTGTCAGCTTGCATCTGTGATGAGGTCATTCCCCTGATGACATCTGATGGGACTGGCTATGAGCAGCCAAGCGGCTGACAGTGTCCAACTGGGAGAGTGGCCTACAGCAGGTAAACAAAGAGGTCTGGCAGTACTGGCTACTTTCCACTGCCTGACGATCCTGTATCTGGCTCCTCACTTCTTGGGTTCTTTGGATTCTGACCTTGTAGCTAGCCTGCTGACCCTGGATCTGTCAGCCTCCACAGCTGTGTGCCAGACTCACCAACCTCTATAAGCCTGCAAGTCATCTTCTTTATGTATAAATGCATATATATAACGAGCTCTTGTTGTCTAGTCTGCTATCTAAAAGGCTGTGTATCTTTGGAGAATCCAGTGGCTGAGCTGAAAGAGAAAGGTGGAAGTCCCCTACCATTGAGTGACAGCCTCAGAAACCCTACAAGGGTCAGCTGTGAGCCTGAACTACCACAACACCAGCGAGTGACCAAGTGTGTGTGTATATATACACTCATCTGTTTTCCTTCTCTAAGGAACTTGGGACTTCATCACAAAGGATAAATGCAAATGAGAATCACAGGGAAGAAGAGGGAAAAACAAGGTTACCAAGTAGCGGTTATGATGTCATAAAACAAACAGTATATGAATAATCTGATGGAAATCCAATTCTCTCTGTAAACTATGACCCAAATAACAATTTAAAAAAGATAAATTTACTTAAAAACCTTAATGTATGCTCAAAGACAAAGCTAACTCAGGGATCTCAAAGGCCTCAACCCAGCACCAGGACTCAGCTCTTGGAAAGGTGTCTATGTACCAAGACTCTATGTAAATTGGCTGCAGCAAAGGGTGCAGAACATTCTGCCTGTCCAGCTGGCTCCGTGCAAATGTACAGACAGACACTTGGGTGGCCACAGCTGTTTGCAGAGCACAAGGTGTGTGAACTGGCCCTCCAAGTCCCTGGATGTTCGACTCTGTCTCTGCTGTCTGCTACAGGAGAGTAAGCAGTTTCCTATGGCCAGACAAGGAGGCTGTGGGAGACTATGCCAAGCCTGCTGAGCACCAGCCCTCACTGTGTGTGCTTTGTCCACTGTACTGGAATAAACCCCATGGCAGGATGATCCCAAATAACAAAAGCTGCCCAGTCCTGTCCCATCCCCATGACCAATTGTGGACTGTACATTACGAGTGGGTTTGCTTTTGTAAATAGATTACCAGGCCTTTCTCCCTGGTCTCAGTCTAGAAAAATCTACTGAAACATGTTCTGCAGAGCAACACATAAGCCTCCACTGATGTGTGGGAGGTACAATGGCTGGAAACTGAACATGTACCTCTTGGATTGACGGTGAATTTCACCACTGAACCACCTTAATAAACTTTAGCCTCGTGTAGAAACTGCTCATGGATCTCACAGTACCTTCTGGTAAATCACTGAATTAAACAAATAATTTAAAGTCACACTTTTTTACAAAGATGGTGCCAAAAGTGAAGGAAGAAGCCCCTGGCCCTCCCAAAACTGAAGCCAAAGCAAAGGCATTAAAGGCCAAGAAGGCAGTCCTGAAGGACATCCACAGGCACAAAAAAAAAAAAAAGGAAATTCACACATTACCCACCTTCTGGCAGCCTGAAAAGCTGACACTCCAAATGCAGCCCAAATACCCCTGGAAAAGTGGCCCCAGGAGAAACAAGCTTGACCACTATGCCATCAAGTTTCCCTTGACCACTGAGTCTGTGATGAAGAAGATAGAAGATAACAACACACTTCTGTTCGTTGTGAATGTCAAGGTCAATAAGCACCAACTCAAACAAGCTGTAATGAAACTCTATGACATTCATGCGGCCAGGCCAACACCTTGACTAGGCCTGATGGAGAGAAGAAAGTCTGTTTGGCCTGCTCCTGACCGTGATGCTTTGGATGTTACTAGCAAAGTTGAGATCATCTAAACGGAGGTCAGCTGGCTAATTCTAAATACAAACTTTTCTCACACACAAAAAAAAAGAAAAGAAAGTCACAAGTTAACTTGATTTCAGTTCCACCTAAAGCACAGTGGTTAAAGAGGTCAACTAACCAAAAAGGGGTGGGGGGGGAGTGGTCGTTATCAGGTGCCATCAAGTACTACCCATAGAAAGCCTAGAAACAAAAGATCAGAAGCTTGTCCTATTCTGAGCCATCCTCACACTACCTGACACACTAGAGCCCACTCTGTAAGTCTCTGTGTCAAACCATCTGTTTAAGGGTCCACCTCCTTTGCTGACCCTCTGCCTTTCCGAGCATCATGTCCGTCTCCTAACAACAGGCCCAAAGTGAGGCAAAACTATCATCTTTGCCTCCAAAAAGCTCTCTGCATCCTCTCCAAGACATATCTGTTTGCTCTCTTGGCCATCCATGGGATGATTAGTACAGCTCAAAGGCATCAATTCTTCTGTCATCCTATTTCATTGTCGAGCTTCTCAGGCACACAGCCAAGTAATTGAGATGACAATGGCTTGAATCAGATGCACTTCAGTCCACAAACTGAAATCATTATTCCTCAGTAATCTGGAGAGGTTCCCAACTGCAGACTTTCTCAATGTAATATGTCTCCCGACTGCTGGTACCAAGGATGCTAAATGTGAATCCAAGTAGAATGAAACTGTTGACAGTTGTAATCTTTTCTCTATCATGATGTTGTCTATTGGTCCAGTGGTAAGAATTTTTGTTTTCTTAACGTTGAGATACAATCCATATTGAAGGCTATATTCTTTTGTTACTCTGCAACAAGTGCTTCAAGTCCACAACCACAAGATAAAGGTAAACAACCCAATGGCAAAATGGGCACAGGGAATGAACAGATACTTCACCAAAGAAGACATTCAGATGGCAAACAAACACATGAAGAAATGTTCCAAACCCCTAGCTCTAAGAGAGAAGCAAATCAAAACAACAATGAGATATCATCTTACCCCAGTAAGAATAGCAAAATTCAACAGAGCAGCAAACAACAAATGCTGGCAGGGTTGTGGAGAAATTGTTGTCAGGAGTGTAAAATGGTACAACCACTATGGAAGGCAATATGGTGTTTTCTCAAAAAGTTGCAAATAGAAACACCATTGACCCATCGATTCCACTACTGGGAATATACCCTAAAGAAGTCAGAACTGCCATCCAAACAGATACATGCATACCCATATTTATTGCTGTGTTGTTCACAATTGCAAAGAGATGGAAACAACCTAAGTGACCATGAACAAACGAATGGATTGAGAAGCTGTGGTACACACGATGGAACACTACACTGCATTAAAAAACAAGAAACTCATGAAATATACAAAATGGGTGACCCTGGAGGACATTCTACTATTGAAATATCTGTCACAAAAGGACAAATATTATATAGGGCCACTGTTATAAAATGGGACTGACATCGGGGTTGGGGGGAGACTGAGAAAGATGGGATAAATAATGTATACTGCATTGAAACAGATGAGGGAGAGAACTGTTTAAAAGGGATATATGATTAGGTATTATTGTCATGACAGGAGTCCGGAATGAAGACTGCACAGTGGAGTGGACTTAGGAGGAGGGATTATGTAACAATGAAGGAATTTTTCTTTTACTTTTCAAAGAGAAGAGTGAATTAGGGGAGGCCGGGGAGAAAAGTTCAACAGTGAATGAATGGAAACCCTAAGTCTCTGTAAACTTTCATTCAAATTAAATTGAAAAAACAGGACTAATATAGGGGTTGGGGGAAAACTAAGATAAGGGGATAAATAATGTATACTGCATTGAAACTGATGAGGGATAGAACTGCTTAAAAGGAATATATGATTAGGTATTATTTGCATGACAACAGTTCAGAATTAAGAGCTGCATAGTAAAGTGGACTAGGTGGGATTGTATAACAATGTTAGATTTTTTTTCCCCCAAAGAGAAAAGTGAACTAGGGGCAGAGCAGGGAGGAAAATGCAACAATGAATAAATGGAAATCCAAGTTCTCTATAAATGTTCACTAAAATCTCAAATTTAAAAAAAGAAAAAGTCCTCCTCATTTTCAGCAAGCAAGGTCGTGTCATCTGCATAACATAGGTTATTGATGAGTCTTCCTCAGATCCTGATGCCACATTCCTCTTCACAGAGTCTAGCCTCTCGAAAATTTTGCTCAGCATACAGACTGAATAGTCTATGGAGAAAGAATACCACTCTGACACACTCCCTTCTTAATTTTAATCCATGAAGCGTTCCCTTGTTCTGTTCGCGTAACAGCTTCTTTATCACATGAGCACAATTAAGTGCTCTGGTACTCCCATTCTTCTCAATGTCAGCCATAACCTGTTGTTGTGATCCACACAGTCAAATGCCTTTGCATTTGACTACCAAAATGTAGCTGGTTCAAACCCAAAAGTTGTTCTTCAAGGAAAAGATGTGGTAGTTTGCTCTCAGAGATTACAGCCTGGCCTCAGGACCACACAGTCTTGGGGACATCGAGGTCAAGTGGCATGATTTAAGTCCACAAGACATGCAGTAATTATAGTCTCAAAGGCTTTTGAGCACCCATCTAAAGTGCAACCAGTATACTCTCCTTGTCCAAAGGAAAATCAAGGAGGCAGATAAATGGGCCAAAGGACTTATGGACCACATGAACTTCAGCCTTCACAGCTCAGACTAGAAGAGTAAGACACAACCTGGTCTCACTGCTGACTGATCTAAAAGGGATTCTGGGCAGAATTAGAAGAAAAAAGGTTGAATAAAATCATAAAAATTACCTGGTTTGCTAGCCTAGTAAAGCCTGGGGTAACCTCCAAGACAATGGCCTTTGAACCTGAAACTACATACATTCCTGTGGCCCTACAGTGCTGTTGTTAGGTATCATCACCAAGTCAACCATGACTCACAGCAACCCTATGAACAGATCTGAACCCTGCCCTGCTCTGCGCCCTCCTCATCTTCCCTGACATGTGTGAATTCACTGTTGCAGTCACTGCATCAACCCATCTCACTGACAGCTGGTATCTCCTCTGCTGACCTTTCCAACCATGATGTCCTTTTCCAAGGACTGACCTCTCCTAACAACTTGGTCAAAGTATGTTAGACAAAATTTCACCATCTCTGCCTCTAAGGTGCACATTGACTGTACTTTTTCCAAGACATATCTGTTTGTTCTTTTGGCAGTCCATAGGATATTCTGCATTCTTCTCCAACAACACAGCTCAAAGGCATCAATTCTTCTTCTGTCATCTTTAATCACTATCCAACTTCCAGATGCATAGCAAGTTTATGAAGAGACCATGACTTGAATCAGGCCCACCTTAGTCCTTAAACTGACAACCTTACTTGTTAGTATTTTGGAAATGTCCTTGACAAAATATTTTCCCAATGCAAAATGTCTTTAGATTTCCGGACTGCTGGTACCAAGGGTGTTGACTGTGGATCCAAGTAAGATAAAATCATTGCCAACTTCAATCTTTTCTCCAACTATCATGATACTGCCTACTGGTCCAGTAGTGAAGATTTTTGTTTTCTTGAAATGTAATTCATATTGATAGCAGATCATGTTTGATCTGCAGCAAATGTTTCAAGTCCTCTATACTTTCAGCAAGCAAAGTTGTGCCATCTGCATAATGCAGATCACTGATGAGTATTCCTCCAATTCTGATGCTACATTCTTCTTCATAAAAGTCTAATTTCTCAAATTACTTGCTTGGCATAACAGAATGAACAGATATGGAGAAAGTATACAGCCCTGATGCATATATTTTTTTATTTTAAACTAGTGATTGTTCGCTTACTCTGTTTGGACAACAGCTTCTTGATATAAGTCTAACATAAGCACAATTATGTGTTCTGGGATTCCCATCCTTCTTAGTGTTAGCCATAATTACAAACCACACAGTCAAATGCCTTTTCATTGTGAATAAAACACAAATAGACTTCTTTCAGTTATTCTCTGCTTTCATTCAAGATTCGTCTGATATCAGCAATGGTATTATCCCTTGTGTCACTTCTGAATTTAGCTTGAATTCCTGGCAGTTCCCTGTTTTGTGGTCTAGTGGGTAAGGAGTTGCACTGCCAACTCAAAAGGCATGTGGTTTGAATCCACCAGCTGCTCCATGGGACAATCTCTCCCTCACACAGTTTACAGTCTCTCAAATTCCACTGAAAACAAAACAAAACAAAAAACAACCCACTGAAGGGTCAGCTCTGAGTCGGTTCCAACTCAAAGGCACGTAACAACAACGTGAATAAGCCAAACAGTGGACAGCCTTAAAAGATGAACAATAACACCAGGGAAGGTTCCTTAGAATAATCAACCACACAAAATCTAAATAGCAGCATCTGCCTGTGGACAGAGCTCCAAAGAGAGGAAAGAGCACGATAGGAGGATGAACACAGGAAAGCAGCAGAACATAGAACCACTGCTGCGACAATATCTGCCTGTCTCACTGCTGTGAAGTCAGAATTGTCCTAGTTGACCCTCTAGGGGGCTTCGGAAGGCTAGAAATATATCCTACAGTCATGGTGGATTTGCAGAAGAGAGGCACATCCTGTGAATCAGCAGTTCATCCGCCTGAGAACCACACCACCAGTGTCCCCTGGTATGCATGGGGAACTGTAACCGATGCAACCTATGAATGACTGAACAGAAAACTAACTGCTCTGTAACCTCTCACTGCAAGTACAATAAAAATTTGGGTGTTTGTGTTTTTTTTTTTTTAAAAAAGAAAAAGATTCTAGCCTTGGCAACATCATGAGCCTGTTGGGCTCTGTCTCACCAGGTCATTGAGCTGGAATCGACTTGGTGGTAGTGGTTTTGGTTTGGGGTTAAAGCTCTCAGGTACTAACTGAAAGGTCCAAGTGTTGAAGCTGCAGGCTGCTTCTCAGGAGAGAGGTGAAAGAAAACTCCTCTGTCAGGTCTGAGTCAGATCAGAATGGACTAATGGACAATGGATGTGCCTTGGTCATCACGAGCAGGGGCTGGCGGTGGGGAGGGCTGGCTTACCTGTCAGGAGACCTGGCCCGCGGCTTGGCTTGCTGGTGAGTGCTGTCCATAATCTGCTCGATGCCAGCCAGCGGGCAGCTGGCCTGAGACAAACCATCAGATCCGCCCGAGTAGGTGATCTCCTCATACAGGGGGGCCGAGGGGATGGCAGGAGACACAGCCCGCAGGCCATTGAGGGCTTCAAGCAGGGAGATGGGCTCATAGCCAGGCGGGGCACTGTCAGGACTCTGTGGACAAGGGTGGTGAGGTGTGCTGGCTTGACCAGGCTCACTGGCCGCTGCCTGGGATCCCCAGAAAGGATGGCCTGCATTCAGGGAAAAGACAACCTTGCCAGCAGCCCAGGTCAAAGCTAGCCCCTGCCCAGTCTGAGAGGAAAATATAGTTGGTGCTGGGCTGCTGACCAAAAGGTGAGAGAAAGGGTGCACAGCAGACACCCACACTTCCTGTCAGTCCCCAGGCTGGAGGGAAAGACAAGCAGATCTGGCTGAAGCTGGTCTTGCTCCAACTGGAGCAGTCAGTGAGAAGAGTTAGTGATAGCAAGGACGAAAGGCAGGCGGAGAGCAAAGCCATGCTAGGAGAGAGGCCAGCCTGGCACCCCCCAAGTGCCCTCATGGCCAGGGAGTTCTAGGGTAACAGCAGCTCCAGAAGAATTCAAAGGCACCTCTAGTGCTAAACTACAACTTGTTTGGGTAGGTGCAGCCACACCAAGTCTGCTCTAGGAAAGAAGGTAATAAGGTCCCAGGCTGGTGAAGCCAGCTGCCTCCCTGGACCAGCTCCCTCCAGCCTTACACGGCAGCCAGGGAACACATCCTGCCTCAGCAGCAGCTCCCAAGCACCGATCAGTCAGGCTGCCAGGTCTCTCTGTCCAGCCTGTGCTGAGCATCTGTCCACAGCTATTGCCCTAAGGTTATGTGCCGTCAAATCACCTGCGACTCATAGTGACCCTTTATACAACAGCCCTAAACTCTGTTCTATACTGTGCCAATCTTATTATCTCTGACACACCTAATCCCATTACCCCAGTCACTCATTGAGGGTCTTCCTCTCCTGTGCAGTCCCTCTCTAAGGACTGACCCCGCCTTGCAACATGTCCAAAGTATGTCAGACAAAGCTTCAGAATCCTTGCTCTAATGCTCATTTTTATACTGAAGTCACACGGCAGTCTCTTAGTGCCCTTCATCTGCCCACAACTCTGGTCTTCTCAGTCTGCCTGGCAGTGACATGGACAAGGTGCTGGGAGGCTACCCAACAGATCCACAATTCAAATCCACTCAGAGATTCTCAGGAAGACTTGACACCTCAGACAACGACAAGGGGATGCCCTAAACAAATGGCAGGACCGACTGTGGACACAATAGCGCCCAATGGTGGTGGTCTCCTCTGTGGTAATATTTTGCTGGTCTTCCCTTATTTCATATAATGGATGCCTATGTAAAGTTGAATAATGACTCTAATGGCTTTATTTCACATATTCTGGATGTTTTATAAGGTGAGGCCTGGACAAAGAAATGTGTGGAAAAGTGGAGGATCAGAGAAAAAAGAGATCTCTCCTCAGGGAGATGGATACCGTGGCTGCAACAAGGGACAGTGGCTCAGGCACAGTGGAGGGTATGAGGATGGTGCAAGGGGTGCCAAAGGAGCCAGGGCAAACTCCACAGCACCACACAGCAAAAACAGCTCGGCCCTGGTCCTGCCAAAAAGGAAGGACAAGAAAACTGGCCCATCCTCCAAGCTGTCCAGGGGCCTTCAGGGGTGTTGGGGACAGGCCCGAAACCCCAGAGCTCAAAGGGCTGCACGCAGGCACAGCATGCATGGAGGATGGGATCTGTGAAACCAGCAGCCACGTTAGTTGTGTGTGGATGTCACTCCACAGCCAGCAAGAAAAAAAGGAGGACTCGGCCATTCAGGGGAACCAAAGGCAGAAGGAAGCAAAGCTGGCGAGAGGAGGCCGGTTGTGGCTTACAGACTCTCAACTAGCTTTGCTTGAAACACAAAATCCTCTTCCAGGTGCGGGTACCTGGACAAGGAACAGCAGATGGGAAGATGACAGAGCAGGGCAGAAGGGGTGTGGAGCGAACACAGGGCCAGGGACCAGGCACTTACTGTCTCCCTTTTGGGTTTCTTGCTCGCCAGTGAGGCGGGGTGCGACTTTGATTTTTTAAAGGGGCACTGTCGAGATAAAAATCATGTTTTACAAAACTGGGCCAACGTGGATTCTAATACAAGGCAGAAGAGACGGGGTATTCCCTACAAAGCCAGAGGGAAAGTGATGCAGGGTAGTCAGGCTCTGCTGACCTCTAATCTGTCACATGCAAGCATCCAGCTCCTCAAGGGAAAGTAGTAGGTACCAAACCAACCAACACTGACACCTTCCTCGACCATCCCGGGAGGTGTACTGGGGTGCTGAGTGCACACCCCCAGACAGGAAGCTGGAGTATGTGAGGAGGGCCAGCTCTGGGAGGCCTTGTGCTGACATGCAGGCTAGGGTGGCCCTGAGCTGTAGAGGAGTCCACCTTTACTTCCAGAGACCTAGCTTCCCAGGACAGAGAGCATAGCCACCCAGGGAGACTATGGGCAGAGTGGCAAACCCGCCATCCTCAGCACCATCCCTGGGGCCACTGCACAGGTCAAACCAGGTAGGTCACACCAGGACTGCTTAAAGAGCAAGCTGACACAGTACAAGTCTGGACCTGGCTCTCAGAGCGCTCCAGCCCATGTCTTGAGACACCTGGCTCTGCCTACAAACTCCAGGTTCAGGATTTGAACTAGAAACTGGGTTTGAGGTTAGGAGGAGGTGGGCAAACTACTGATGCTGGCCCATTCAAGAGGCAAAGAGTAAACTCCAGAGTGGGAGCACAGGCTCTAAGTGAGCTGAAGATCAGGCAGGATCTTGGGGATTACCCCACAGAGAAGGGAGCCCCATCTTGTAAACACCCTGTCCAAGCTACCTTACAAACTAAGCCAGCAGGGAGTTAGCACCCCCACCTCCACTCCCACCCCATCTGCCTTCCTCCTAGAAGGTCCTACCTGTGTGTGTTCCTGCCCATGTCTCTTTCTCTGTACTCAGGACTCTTATGTCCATGTCTCTGTGCCCAGGTCTATGTCTGTTTCTGTCCACCATGGCTCTGTGTCCACATTTCTGTATTTCTGTCGCTGTCCCCATGTCTCAGTGTCTCTGTCTCTTTGTGTCTCTCTCTGTCCCCAAGTCTCTGTGTGTCTCTGTGTCTATGTCCCCATGTCTTCATGTCTGTCTCTGTCCCCATGTCTTGGTGTCTCTCTATGCTCATGTCTCTGAGTCTGTCTCTGTCTCCATGTCACTGTGTCTCTGTGCCCATGTCTTTGTCTGTCCATCCCTCTGTCTTCTAACCTCCTAGGTCTCTGAATGTCTGTCAGTGTCTATCTCCTCCACCTGTGTCTCCTGTTCCTCTGCTCAACTCATTTTTGGATCCTGAACCTGAATTGTCTCGTCTGCAGTCAGGTAGTGCCTTTATCTCAAGTCCCCCATGGCTGGGGTGGGCCAGGGGTGCATCCCAGCCACTGCTGGGGGACATGTTTCATGGGAACGTGGCTTTGTCATTTGTGAGCCATAAGGCCCAGCAGGCCCAGCATGGGGAGGAAGGCGGGAATCTCTGACTTTCCTGAGGTTTCTCTTTTCCTGGGATTCCTGGGGGCTCAGAACTACCAGGCACTCACTGGCCAGCATAGGGGGGATCCCCCGAGGACTCTCAGCTATCCTCAGGCAGTGGGATGACTGTCATGGACAGATAGTAGCTCCCATCTGTTGTTGCCCAAGGTTCAGGCTGGGGCAGCCCCTTTCCAGCCTGTCATCCCAGTCGGCCCCAGCCCACAGACCCCTCCAGAGACCCCTGCAGCAGCAGCTTTGCAAGCAAGAAAGGCACTTACAGAGTGATCATCCTGTTCCACATTCTGGGCTAGCACAGGGCTGAAGGATACAGGTGACAGCACTCCTGGCTTCTTCCGCACAGCCCGGATTTGGAGGAGCGCCCGGAAGGCTGTGGTCAGAGAGACTGGGTCAAAACGGGTGGATGCTCACACCAAGACCCCAGCCCTGCAACTAGCACCTGCCCACCCTCACTGACCTGTTCCACGGAATACACATTGCTCCCACATGTACAAATACACTCGCCTCCACATCAGCTTTTCAAACCCAGACTCAGTTTAGGGTAACTGGTGCACTGCCACCTCTGATAATCCTGTGTCTGTTGTCTGGGTGTGTGGTGCTCCTAGAATGGGAGTCTGAGTCTCTCGGCCCCATTGTTACTCACACAGGGCAATTCACTGGGAACAGACCCTCTGATAGGTGCTGGTGTGGCCAACCCCTCTCCTGTCTGGAAGCTTCCACCCCCATCTAGAAGCTCTTCCAGAAGCTTCCATGACACTCACGCAGCCGGCAGATGGGACAGTTGTTGGCCTGGTAGCGCAAGGTGTCGGCACAGGAGTTGCAGAGGCAGAGGTGGCGGCAGGGTAGGATCAGTGTGTCCCGTAGGTCTGACAGGCAGACCACACACTCGTTGCTGTTGTCACTGTTCTCATCATCTGAGGGCTACAAGGACAGGGCCTGGGGTCAGTATCCCAGGGCCAGAAGTTGAGGAGGCAGGGTTGGCAGAAGGCAAGAGAGGCTAAGGCCAAGGAGGATCCCAGAGGCCACTACTGCCGGGGAGTGTAGTGTGGAAGGTCACTTAGGAGTGCAGTGAGTCCAGTGTGGGAGGCCCCCCACCTACCCCAGAAGCACAGTGTGGGAGCCCCTCCAAGAGTGTAACATGGGAGGGCCCTAAACTCCCCACAGAGTGCAGTGTGGGAGGCTGCTCAGGAGTGAAGCGCAGGAGAAACACCCACCCACCCTCAGGAGTGCAGGGCAGGAGGCTGCCTAGGAGTCCACACCCCAGCCTGCCGCTCACTCCCTGTGCAAAGTAGAGGCCTGTGTCCTGGGAGTCCACACCCCAGCCTGATGCTCACTCCCTGTGCAATGCAGGGTCCCGTATAGACAAAGTGTCAGCTTCCCTCTGTCAGCTTCTCTCAGCCCAGGCAGACAAAACTTATACTCTCATCACAGCCTACTTCTATAAATCACTGTTTTGGACATCAGAGTCTGCATTATCTTAGTAGAGACCCAGAGAGAATGTGTATGTATAGTGTAAGAGAATGTGTGAATGTGTATGAGATAATCTATGTGCGAGAAAATGTGTGTGTGAGATAGTGAAAGAATGTATGTGTGAGAATGTAGGATAAAGTGTGAAAGAACATGTATATGTGTGTGAGAGAATGTGTATGAGAGAATGTATGTGTGTGAGAGAGAATGTGTGTATGTTTTTGTATAAGAGAGAATGTGTGTGTGTGTGTGTGTGTGTGTGTGTGTGTGTGTGTGTGTGTGTTGAGAGAGAAGCGAGTATGTATGCAGGGTGCTGTCTGGGATGGTCAGTGGGGACAGCACTGGCTCAGCCAACTAAAGGTGAAAGACAAAGGCAGAGAAACTGCATGCTCAGGGAAGCCCAGTCCATAAGAAGGGAGGGTACTGCCATCTCTTGCCCTCCTTCCACAAAACAGTGGTTATTATGGTAAGCAAGGAAAATTTGTTTTTAAAAAAGATAAAATATTCTAGAATTTATCAGCTTAAGATTTCTCTTTAAAAGGCTGGATAAAAGAATAGGAAGGAGGCCACGCGTGGACGTCACCAGGGGGGAGTAACAGAGAAAGGAAGCAAGTTGGCATCCAGCTCAGCGCCTCAATATCCTGCCAGGAGAGACACTGTGAACAGGTGCCTGTTCAGCTGTGCAGATTCTCACTCAAAAGCAAAACTAATTTTTTCTTTTAAGAAAATTTATGAAGGAAAAGGATGAAGCCTATAAAGTTGTCCAGGACCATGGGTGAGGGAGAGAATACACTGGCTGGTCCTCTCACCCGGGGACCCTGAGTGAATAAGGGAAGATACTGGTTAGTCTCCTCAGCCTGGGCCCCTGGGTGAATTAAGGGAGATGCTGACTGGTCCCCTCAGCCCAGGAACCTGGGTGAAAAAGGGGTGATGCTGGGTTGCCCCTGTCATCTGGGACCCTGGGTGACCTGTGGAAGAAGAATGGCCTTGTGTACAGGCCTGAGAACACACCTTGGTCTCCTGGTTGTTCTTGTTCTCGATGCCATAGATCTCCTGCAGCAGGTAGCTGACTCGGTCCACCTGGAAGACAGCGAGGCTCACTGGATACTAGACTCTACCCCATCTGGCCCAGCCCCATACCTGGAAGCAGACTCTCCCCAAATGAAGCTGTAGGGCATTTTACCTGGCCAGCTGCACCAGCAGATGGGAAGCCCACCACAGGCCTGAGTCCAGTTCCACAAAGTCTGGCACCACAAACCGTGCTTGCCCACCTTCCAGGTATACCCCAGCCTCCAGAAGACTCTCATAGCACATGCTGTCCCTCACAGCACATGCTGGATGCTGAGGTCTCCTGGAACAACTCTCTATACCGTCAATCATTTCACTGAGTCAACTCTGACTTAAAGCAAGCCCAGGGACAGCAGATCAAAGCCTTGCTTAGCTTGTACCATGCTCTCAACCTCTGCCCAATGCTGTAGTCACTGGGCCAGCCCACCTTACGGGGTGAATCCTGTCTCCTGGCTACACAGGGCTCCTTCGCTAGCCAGTAAATCTCAGTGAAAACTGGCTGCCATGAACCCTGCTTAACAGCACAAAACTGCCCCCCAGGATTCCAGGGCTGGAATCTGCACCAGAGCAGATTGCTTCTGTTCTTGCAGAGCAGCTGGAGGCATCCAACTACCAACACTTCTAAGATGAAGCTTCTCTCCAGGAAATGGCCCTTCCTGACAGCATGCCCAAAGTACATGAGACCAAATCTTGTCATCTTTATGTCTAAGGGGCACCCTGGCTGCATTTCTTCTAAAACAGATTTGCTTATAGTATATTCAGCATTTTCTGCCAATGCAATTCAAGGACACTGCTTCTTCCTCAATTTTCTCTGTAACTTGTAAAGAAAAGACATTTTTAAAAAAACAGATTTAAGGAGCTCTGGTGGCCTAGCGGCAAGAAACTGCACTGCTTCCCTGGAGAAGGAGGGGCAATCTCCTGTACCAGTTGGATCCAATTTGATAGTACACAATATGGTGCCGAAACCTGGGAGATGAGTTAAGATGCTGCACTCTGTCTTAAGGCGAGTGCTGGCGCCCCTTACTCTTTCCCGAACCAGCCTACACAGTGTCAAGATGCTTGAAAAGTATAGTAAAGTTCCGCTCTCTGACTCTGCCCTGTCCTTTATGTGTACAGCTGCTGACCAGATCTCTGCCCCTTTTTGTCTTTCTGATCTCTGTATTCTCCCTCTCCTTTTCCTGGAGGTTCCTAAAGCTAGACCCAGTTGATTTCCAGGCATATTAAGCCTTTATTCCTCTGTTCCAAAGCTTTTAAGCTTTCCAGTCCAGACATTGTGAACTCCCATGAGAACCCGGATCTGTGCCACTGGACTTCTGTCTGCACATGTCCACAAACCACAGATCTGCGTCAGAAGGCCAACCAGAAATGCTAGGCATTTCTTCCAGGCTATGATGGCTCTGAGGATGCTCAAGCTGTCTATAGCCTCTCTGCACTCACAAGAGCTCCTGACACTCCCGGTTTCCAGAGGATGTTCTGAAACTCTGGTTGCCTCATCCACAGATCTGGGAACCATGGGTAGCCAATGTCTATCTAGGCTCTCAAGAGATGGTCTCTTGATCTGTGTTCTCTCAAATCTCTCACACTTGAGTCGAGTTGAAGACCTCTGCCTCAAGAAATAGATCCTTTTTCTGTAACCAAGCAGCCACAGTACCAGTAAAGTAACGACTCTCAATGGCCTAAGAATAAAACCTTTAGTTCAGCATCTAGACACTTTCTGCCAGTGGACTTTAAGAAACTTTCTTTTGTTTCACTCCCATACATCTCTCTCTGTCCCAATGTCTCCTCTAAAGACTACCCAAATCTGCTCCAAAGCTGGATCTCTTTGTCTGAAACCATGCCCTCCATTTTCATCCTGACTAATCCAAACTCAGCCATTCCTATCCCACCTCTTACATCAACTGTTACCAGGGTTATATGAATCCGCCAAGCTAAACCTCTTTGTTCTCCAGCTGCCCAGCCCTCTTCTATCCCAACCAATCCAGACTCAGGCATTCCTATTTTCCACTTCTCCAACTGAGTCCCTCCTATGTCCTCTTCAAAAGTTACAAACGTTAAAAGTCCCTTTCATGTTCAAAAACTATGTCTAAACTGCTGTAAATTCACTTATCTTTAATCTCACAAAGTACCTCTTATAGCTTGTTTTCCTAACTCAGTCATATGCACATGTCACCACACCACAGGTAGCCTTTTCCAATTCTCTCTCAGACCCAGCCCCTCCTCTCCTCTCTCCCCAGCCCATTCAGAAAAAAGTTTCCTGCATCCACTCTTCCTTTTCCAACCATAGCCTACTAATAAAAACCTCACCCAGCTCCTCTGATCACATCAGCAGTCCCAAACAAAAACATACAGGTAAATTCTCCAAACCTCTCTGCTCCTCCTTCCCTCATTTATGTGTTAGCTCAGACAAGCCCCTGCCCTGTCCCACTCGGGGAAAATTCCCAGAGCAGAGAAAAATGCCAAAGTGAATAGCAAGTTCTCACTGCTGCCTACAGCATACAGAAAAAAAAGCTAGAAACGACCTCCAAACATCCTACTCACTACAAGCACTCTTAAAAGTTCCAATGCCCAAGAGAAACAGACAGAAAAAACTCGTGCCTAACAGAAAGTGAATCTGCAAATGTAACTGCCTTACAAGCAGTGGTGACAGGTCGGAAAACACCTGCGCCTTACCTCCAGGTACTTCAAGTGCAGCAAAGCAGGTAATTGGAGTTAGCAACTACACTAACCCTCGCCCTCCAAACCAGAGCCTGATAACACAGCCTTGTCCTATCTGTGGAACACTGGGCCATTAGAATACCCGTTCCTGTTCAAGGCCAAGCCACTGGTGAAGTAGCCGGCCCTGTTCCCACTCTGGCTGATCTCTGAGGCCTCGCCACTGATTTCTGAAGATGCCCAGGTTCAACAACTCTTACCACTCCTGTTAAACTCCCAAGGCAACCCTTCAGGTACCAGGTAAACCAGTTTCCTTTCTGGTTAACACGAGAGCTACCTGTTCAGTACTCTCTCCTTTCTCGGGTTCTGTTTTCCCTACCCAGGACCCAGTAATAGGGATTTTTAAATTTATTTTATTATTATTTTTTTGTGTGTACCATCAAATCGGATCTGACTGGGACAGGAGAAGATTGCCCTCCTTCTCCAGCAGAGCATCTGGTGGATTCAAACCACTTACCTCTGGGATTGCAGTGCAGCTTCTTGCCACTAGGCCACCAGAGCTCCCTAGTAATGGGGATTGATAGCCTTCTCTCCAAGCCTCTTACCACTCAACCTCTCCTCATTACCCTCAACAAATACTCATTCTTTTCTAATTATCCACACAAATCCAACTCTGCTGCTAAGCAGGAACCTCTTATCTAAAATTAAAACTGTATTTCACTAAAAATTAAACAAACCTAGTTCACCAGACCAGGCTTAGGTCTCTCTCTCTCTTAACACTCTTTCCCTCCAAGTTCCCTTCTACACTACCTTTATCACCAGCCATTGTCAACCCTGTAATATAGTATCTTTCCACCCCATGTGTAACCTCTCACTACCAACCTGTTTTCGTTACTCTAAAATAACTCCTCTTTTCCTGCTAGACCCCAATTCCCTGTCTCCACGCAACATTGCAGGAGTATAAAAACCATCATTACTTGCTTACTTTCAAATAAACTTTTTTCCCCAATAAACGTCTTATCCCTAAATAAATGAATAATCTTTTGTTGTGCAGTCAACTTCTTAACTTCTTAGCCTCCAAAGGATACCGAGTATCCTCTTTCAAGGCCCAACTGTCTCACCCCACAGTCACATATATATCAGCTTTCAGTAAATTCCCACCACTAAAAGTCTAATAGTCAATGAAATCCTGGAGCCTCCTCAAAGTGCTGATCAAATCCTCTCCTTTCCCAGTTTTATCAGTTTCCTCAGACACTGGATCCCCAATTTTCTTTACTTGCAAAGCTTCTTTATGATGCAACAAAGGGCACCCTACAAAGTCCCTTAAATTCACCCTATATAGTTAAAAAGCTTTCTCAACTCCAATACTTCCTTTTACAGTTCCCACCCCTTACTTTACCAAATTCCTCTAAACCTTTCCACATATTTACTGGTGAAAATGAAGTATTGCTTTTGGTGTTTAAGCTCAACCTCTTGGACCCACCTTCACCCCCATTGCATATCTATCTAAACAGCTTGACAGTACCACATAGGGCAAGCAACCTTGCTTATGAGCTCTAGTACCTGCAGCTATTCTCACCAAAGAAGAGCTTAAATTCACCTTAAAAAGCCCCCTACAAGTCTTATCAAGCCACAGACTTCGAGATCTACTTTCACATCATTTTCTATCCTTACATCCTCCTAAGCAGATACAGGAACTCTATCTACTTTTCCTCAAAAATCCTAATATTTGCAGGGAGCGCTGGTGGCCTAGTGGCAAGGAGCTGCAACTACAATCTCAGAGGTGCACGGTTCGAATCCACCAGATGCTCTGCCGGGGAAGGAGGGACAATCTCCTCCTGTACCAGTCAGATCTGATTTGACGGTACACTTACACAAAAATAATAAAAAAAAATCCTAATATTTGCCTCTCTCTCCATCACCATCCCTTAATCCAGCCATCCTATTAAATCTTTACTTCCCTCTCTATTTGACCAACCCATCCCAAATCCAGGCCATACTCTGTAGATGGCAGCTCTTGAATGACCTCTGAAGGTCACCATCAGGCAGCCTGTGCTGTAGTTTCCATTAACAAGTTGTGGGAGGCAGCAAAACTTCCTGAGGGCACAACCTCACAAAAGGCTGAGCTTATTGGCCTAACAAGAGTCCTACGTATAGCTAAAGGACTGACTCTCAACATTTACACAGATTCTAAATAAGCTTTTTAAATTTCTCATTGTCATGCTGCTATCTGGTGGGAGTGAGGCTTTATAACAACAAAAGGTTCACCTATAGTTAATAGCAAGCTAATCACTCTCCTGTTAAAAGCCCTTCAACTGCCCAAGCAGGTCACTATAATACACTGCAAAGGGTATCAGTCAGATTCTTCCCTTATCACTAAGGGAAACAACAAAGCAGACCATATAATAAAAACCTTAGCCTTGCAACAACATCATCATGTAGGCCACACCGCACACACATCAACTCTGAGGCCTCATGCCTGGACAGAATTAACAAGTTAATTTCACACACATGCCAATCACAAAAAAAAAAAATTAGTATCTCCTATAAATACCTTCTCTGAGTAAGTTGAAGCCTTCCCCACCCAGCAAGAAACAGCAGAGGAGGTCTCGTTGAAGCCTTACTCCAGCATATCATCATCAGGTTTGGCCTCCCTACTGTTAGTCTGGGCAAAGAGGGCCAAAGAGAAGAATGAAGAATTCAGAACTCAAATGCTGATGGCCTTGTCTGTTGCTCATAAGAAGAGCAAATGGCTTTGCTTGTCTGGCTGAGCTAGAATGTCCCTCCCTAAAGACTCTGTTTATAAAAATCCTCCCCAGTAAGTTCACAGTGTGACTTCCCATTCTGCCTCTCCAGGATGAGGAACTCACCCAGGAGCTCCCCTTCCCCTCCTTTAATAAAGCTGCATTAAGCTTTCTCTCATTCTCTCTGATTTCTTCTTTTAAGTCCACTAACCTAACACCTACTTCAATAAATTCAGACAATGGTCCTAGCTTTGTCTCCAAAGTCACCCAGCAAGTATCCTCTAGTTTAAATATCTGCTAGAAGGTAATACCATATCACCCCCAGTCTTCAAATACTCATTAATTCCTAGATTACTAAACTGACTGTCAAGTTACACAAGTCTTAAGTTAACTTACTTCCTATTGCCTTAGCCCCTATCTAAACACTCTACTCACTGTCCTTTCTAAACCCCTTCCAACTGATGTACAGCCAACTACTGCTAAACCATAACTTACTTGCCAAATCCCTTCTTTTAGCATCATGCCTTAGCTCTCTTTCCTTAAGCAATTACTCTAAAGACACTGAGACCACTGCATATCCAGACCCTCGTCTAAAAGTCTAGACCAAGCCACTAAAGTCACTTCAAGAAAAGCCATTCTCATCAAACAACGTGCACCCAAGCCTCTCCAACCACATGAAAACAAACTTTATACAGTCATCCTGACCACCCCCAGCTACTAAGGTCATAAGTAAACCCCATTAACATTACCTTTCTCAAGTCAAACATCCTCCTCTTACTGAGCGAATTTCCTACACCTCTTAAATGTTAAGTCCTATATTCTTCCCTTCACTGAGCACTCAAGGCCAAAAAAACCAACTTCCACACAGCAGTCTACTCCAACCATACACCTCATCAGCTCAGCAGATTGCTCTCAACAAAAATATCAAACAACAATCACCATTTCAATTCATGCAGAATCCATAACATTTATAATACCAAAGTTTTCTATTAAATAAACAAACAAAACCCTTCTACCTTTGTATTTCAAACTCCTGGAATGCCCAATGGCAAGCTAGAGTTAAAGAACCACTATATCCTATTAAATATAGTTCCTTGCCCTCTAGCATAAATACACATAAGCAAAGAATATGCTCTAGATGCAAGTCTCCAATGACATTCTCCAAGCCAAGCAGCTGATAATAGAACAAGTCTCTGAAGAGGCACAAACTATGCAGGTCCCAACTTGGGTCCAAATTATCCAGAGCACCTTACTATTCCTCAACCAAAGTCAAATGGTAACCAACCTTTCCCATTGTTTCCTGTGTGCCTCTTTACAATGACCTTTGCTAGGAGCAGTACCAATCAATTTCTCTAGACCACACTCCACCAAAACCACACCCTGATAAGCAGACTTAGCCCTCTCACATCTAGCATCCTCTAACAGAACATGAGAACTGTATACGCGATGTTAACATGAACCAGCACACTGTAGCAGAACCAGGACAACACTTTTAGTGTAGTAAGACTCTACACAGAATTCCACCACAAAAAAGCCCTCTCCAATCATAGTTAAATTTAGGGGAGCTCTGGTGGCCTAGTGGCAAGGAACTGCAACTACAATCCCAGAGGCGCAAGGTTCGAATCCACCAGATGCTCTGCCGGGGAAGGAGGGACAATCTCCTCCTGTACCAGTCAGATCTGATTTGATGGTACACGCACACAAAAATAATAAAATTAAAAAAAAAAAGAAAAAAGAAATTCAGTCTAGCCTCCTTCCAATGTCAACTAACATCACTGGCACAAGTCACTCTCCAAAATTAAAAATCTCTAAATCTCCTGACTGCCAAGAAAGGGAGCACCTACTTATTCCTAAAAGAGAAGTGCTGTTAACTCAAAAACCCATTTCTAGGTTAAATTCTTCCTTCTCTAAGACCAATAGTAATCATAACCATATTGTTATTATTAATCGCTCCATGTCTCTTTAAGTTCTTACTTCACAGGATCAAGAAGATAACCAACTTAATTCTCCCCTGGCCACTAATCCCAGACCGACTCACTCCAGCCTCTGAACCCCTAAATCTTCACCTCTGTTCAGCAGAAAGTAGCCAAATGAAAGATACATTGACCTGTTTTATCACTAAAAAGGCTGAGTGGGATGTTAATTCTGGATAAGGGCAGCCAAAAAGAATGAAGCATTCAGAATTCAAATGCTGAAGGTCTTGCCTGCTGCTGCTGCTAAGAAGAGCAAGCAGCCTTGCCTGCCTGGCTTAGCTAACAGGATCATAAATCAGAGTGGAATGTCCCTCCCTAAAGACTCTGTTATAAAAATTCTCCCCAATAAGTTCACAGTGTGACTTTCCCATTCTGTATCTCCAGAACAAGGAACTCACCCAGGACCTCCCCCACCTCCCCAACTGCCTTTAATAAAGCTGTATTAAGCTTTTTCTCATTCTCTCTGATTTCTTACGGAAGGGAGGGAGGGAGGGAGGTAGGGAGGTAGGGAAGGAGGAAGGGAAGGAGGGAGGAAGGGAAAGAGGGAAGGAGGGAGGGAGGGAGGAAGAAAGAGAGTAAGAGAAAGTAGGAAAGAAAAGGGAGGCAAAGGAGGGAAGTGAGGGAGCAAAGAGAGGGAGGGAGGGAAGGAAGGAAGGAAGGAGAGAGGGAGAGAGGAGGGGAAGGAAGGAAAGGAGGGAGGGAGGGAGGAAGAAGGAAAGAGAGACAGAGAAACAGAAAGTAGGAAAGAATAAAGGGAGGGAAAGGAGGGAAGTGAGGGAGGAAAGAGGGAGGAAGGGAAGTGAGAGGGAAGAAAAAGGGAGGGAGGGAGGGAGGAAACTAGATAAACAAAAAACATCAGACTTATCACCAGTAAAGAAAAGTCGGGGTCTCCTCCAAAGGGCTGGTGTACAGCTAGTGTACAGTTCAGAATATTCCATCCTTGCCCTCCAACAATGAGGAAGTCTAAGACTTTACTCAACACGCAGGTTTTTCCAGTCAATTGTGAGGAGGGATTGGTCTTCCATGCCCTGTCTCCATCCACACCGCTTCAGCAGCATTTACTGAGGATGCCTTGGTGGCACAGTTGCTGAGCACTTGGCTGCTGACAGAAAGGTCAGTGCCATTCCACAAGAGAAAAGGCCTCGTGATCGGCTTTCTTAACAGAACCAACAGGTCCGCAGAGGGTCTAGTTTGGGATTCAATTAAGGAGTCTGATGGCACGGGGGTTAAGCTCTGGGTTGCTAAACCACAAAATGGTTTGTTTAGCAAAACAAAGACATGGCAGCCAGCTTCAAAGCCTCAGGAGCCCTGCAGGGCAGTGGAAACAACTGAACATCAACACAGCTGTCTCAAAGTCCACAGAGAGGTGAGGCCAGGGGCTGAGGAGGAGAGTGGAACCCTGTGACTGTTGAGGTCTCTGATGTCTGGTAAAACACAGGACCACATCAGAGGCATGGGGTGAAGGCCTATGTGCAGTGTGGTGTTTACAGAAGCCTGGCAGAAGAGCAGTTTCAGCTGGCTGTCCAAGTCCAGCAGCCATTCTGGGGGAAAGAGGTAGTTTTCCCCTGAAAAGGTTTACTAAAATCCCTGCAGACCAGTCCCACTCTGTCCTGCAGGGTCAACATGAGTCAGAATTGACGCAAAAGCAGTAGGGCTTTGGCGTGATGTTTTGGTATTATAATTCACATGCCAGATACCCAGACAGGGGTACAAAGCTGGGCCCATGCAGTGGCACAGCCCAGGCCTGGAGACAGACACCATGGGGCCATAGAGCTGTGGTGAGGGTGCAGGGGTATGTGAGCACAAGAAAGGGAGCACATGAGGAAGAGAGACAGTGTGAAAGTGAGAGGAGCACAGACTTACGATTTGCTTCTGCTTTAAAGGTTTCACAGAGAAGCTGCCATCCATGTGCTGCCAGAAGAGACATGGAAGTTAAGAGGGGGCCTGGGACCTCTCAGCACCCACACAGAGAGACACACAGCAAACACTACACACCCCAGGCACATGCACACAGACAGACAAAGTACACGCAACACACATATACAGGCATGTGATTACAGACACACAGACACAACACAGAACCCCACAGGCACATGTATATAGACAGAGCCTACACAGCACATACATCCACAGGCACGGGTACATGGACACACAGACAGACACAGCAACAGGACACACACATCTACAGGCACGTGCACACTGATACATACAGACACACAGCAAATGTAACATACACATCCACAAGCCTGTGCACACAGACACAGAAAGATAGACAACAAACATACATACCCCCACAGGCACATCACACAGACACATAGCAAACTTAACACATACATCCAAAGGCATATGCACACATACACAGAGACAGATAGGCACATGCACACAGACAGACAGACACAGTAAACACAACAAACACCTACCCGTATGTGGTCAGACACATAGATACAACACAGCTCCCCACAAGCACATGTACATAGACAGACAGAGCCTACACAACACACACATATGGAGGACAGAGACACACAGAGAACAAGAACTCTCACAGTCACATGCATAGAAAGACACCACCTACATAGCACATATATCCACAGGGCCATGTACACACAAATAAGACACAACACACACACATGCACACAGAAACACACAGACAGATACAGCAAACAGGATATACACATCCACAGGCATGTGCACATAGACAGATATGCAAAGACATGCAAACACATATGGACAAGCACAGGAGACTAACACAGCAGATATATGTCCACAGATTCAGCAAAGACACACAGACCAATATATTCATACAGCACATATAGAGACTATGTATATATATGACACAAACACATATGACAGATACAAATACACAAACAGTATCATGCAGACTAAAACAGTAGCACAAATACACATGGCACACAGACACATAATACATATACAAACACACAAAACTCCTACATCCCCCAATATAAACACACCCCAAAAACCCAAAAGGCCAAGTGCTTGGTGACTTTGGACAAATAGCGCATTTCAAATAAAGGTGATATTCAAGCAAGTCCTCCCACACAGACAGTGCACTCTTCTGTGTGGTCACTCCACTTGGGACCCAAAAATGGCCTGTAAACTTCCCACCTCCCAGCAGAGGAATCAGATCAGCAGCCTGCCCACTCTGACCTCAGGACAGCAGACACTGGCACAGGAGGGCCACCAGAACACCACAACCTGGGTGACATGGGGACACATGGCAAAGGGGAGCAGCCTTGAATGTGGACTCTTAGACACTGGATATCCCTGTGTCTGGTGGGAAGCAGGTCCCTGGCTAAAGGTCCAGGCCCATGGTGGCAGGTAAATGAGCCTTCCCTTTAGACTGGCTAGTCTTTTTCTGAAACCTCTAGGGAGTGTCCTCCTGAGGTCATCATTACAGGGAATTGGTCGCCTGCCCTGGCCACTGGCAGAAGGCCTATTTCTCAACTCTGGTCCCCAAGTTTGCATTTCACATACTACCCTACACAGATGCAACCACACTTACTTTTTCAAAGGCCGCCAAGAGCACATGTGCGTGGCCAGTCAGTTCCACCACTGCAGGGGAGAAGAGGGAGTGGTCACGGTGGGAGGGGTGGTCCACTGTGCAACAAAGAGGAGGGGAGCCCACTGCACATGAGGGAGTGAAATTCACTGCACAAGTGGGGAAGGGAGATCGAAGCACAGATGGGGAGGGGAGCCCCTGCAAACATGGGGAGGGGAGATCGATGCACAGGTAGGGGGCGAGCCCACTGCCAGATGGGGAGGGAAGATTGCAAAGATGGGGAAGGGATGCACTGCACAGATGGGGAGAGAGCCCACTGCACAGATGATGGGGAGGGGAACATGCTGCACAGGTGGGAAGGGGACGTGCTGCACAGATGGAGAGTGGAGCACACTGCATAAATGGGGGAGGAGAGCCCCCCTGCACAGTTGGGGAGAAGGGGATCCCACTGCACAGATGATGGGGGGGATCCCACTGCACAGATGTTAGGGAGGGGAGCCCACTGCACAGAAAATGGGGAGGGAAACCCACGGAACAGATGGGAAGGAGGGGAGCCCACTGCACAGATGGGGAGAGTGGTCAGACCAAGTCTGCTCTGAGGGTCAAATGCACAATTCCAACCCACCCAGGTCAAGCTGGGGTCCTGAATAGGAGGGTCACCCTGCAGCTCATGGCGTGGAAAGAAGCACTCCTATAGGGGACCGGGGAAGCAAGGGAGGAGACAAGGCTCACCATCCCCTTCGTCCACCACAGCCTGGATGACCACTGGAAACACACCCCGGTCTAGGTCAAAGTTCAGCTGTGGAAAAAAGCAAGCAAGCATGGTCAGGATGACAGGTCAACCAAGGTGAAGCAAAGGAGCCAGGGAGGTAGAAGGCACAGATCCACCAAGATGGGGGAAGAAGCCCTCTCCCATTTGACCTCATGTTAAATCTACTCCCTTAGCTCACTGAAGTGCTCATGCTCAAGGCTGAGTCCTCCCCACAGTCTGCATGAAAGGGCATAGCCTCCACCAGAAAGAGCTGGACAGACATTTGGCAAAGACAAGGAGAATTTCTTAGGAAAAGCTGCTGTCCACCCCCAAAACGGGGCTGAGGGGCCAGCACAAGTCCTCAGGCTCAGCTTCACCACCCCCAGGGCAGCTGGGAAGGAGGAAATGAAGCTTCTGTCTTGCACCCTGACCCTAGGGATCTCCCCATGTGGGGCACAGGACAGGCTACAAGGGCACTAGAGAAACAGGAGCAAGGCAAAGGCTGAAGGAAGTAACTGGGTGACCGTACTTCACTGGGAAAACAGACATGAGGACACCCGACCCACAACTCACAGAAGACCCCCGAGATGAGCAAGTCCTGACACCAAGCTAAACCAAGCCCACTGCTGTCAAATTGGTTCCAACTCATAGCAACCTTTCCTGTAGGGTTTCCAAAGCTGCAATCTACAGAAGTAGATGGCTTCATCCTTCTCCTGCAGAGGAGCAAATGGGGTTGAACTCTCAACACCTGGCCAGCCTGCTATACATCAAGGCTCCTAGGGACTATTCACAAGCTGGGGCAGGAGGAGTCTACTGAGATCCTGGAAATCAAGTTCTACAACTCAATGTAGCTGTGGTGACAGCTGTACAATCCATATATCTACTGATAAATCAATAAACTTTACATTTCTAATTAGTGAATCTTACAGTACTTATGTGTCAAGAAATGCAATGTGTAGCTAATTGCCTCAATAAACAACTAACTTCCCTGTCATGAGAGTGGACTTATTTGGCTACCATTACAGAACACAACAATCAAAGCCATCAAAGGAGAAAAATGAAGAACAGATTTTCAAATTCTCATGAATGTAGATGTTCTGGAACCAAGGCAACTGGATTAACTCCTGAAACTACGACCTTGAGAAAATCTTCAAAATCTAAACAAAAAATATGCCCTGAAGACTTCTTACAATAACAATAGTTGAGGTTAATTTGTAAAAAAAATTCCTGCCTTAAGCATTCTGGTCTTTTACAATCTATCAACACAGGTTCAAACTGGCAATAGTAACTCAAAAGATTAGGTAGCAACCTTAGGGGGATCAATGCTGAAAAGGAGGGTGAGAATCATACCACTCAAAGAATGTCATCAATGTCACAGAACTGTACCCAGGAAAACTGCTGAACTTGAACATGTGCTGCTGTGAATGTGCTTAACAAGAGACCTAATAATAAGCTTAAAATATACACACACACACACACACACACACGCCTCAATATATTAATAAGCAGAACTGCACATGAAGAAGTTGATGGTGTGTGTTTTCCTGTGTATATCCTCAACAGTGAAATAAATCAAATAAATATAGACACATCCCTCAACAGAGTAGTAAAAAAAAAATCCCAAATTCAGAGCACATACTGTCTGGCCTCCTTACACTGCATCCCTGTGCCGTGTGTGCTGAACACCTCACTGCCACAGAGCACATTCTGACTCAGAGCTGACCAACCCTCCACAAGATATCCAGGACTGTAAATATTCACAAGAGGAGACTGCCCATTCCCTCCCTTCCCTTTGCAGCTGATGGTGGACCTGAACCACCAGACATGTGGCCTTTTAGTTAGCAAAGAATGCTGCGGACTGTTGTTGTTTTTATGTGCCGTCAAGTTGCTTGCGACTCATAGCGACCCTATATACAACAGCCCTAAACCCTGCTCTATCCTATACCAATCACACTGCCTCTGACACACTCATCCCGATTACCCTAGTCACTGAATCAATCCACCTCATAGAGGGTCTTCCTCTCCTGCTCTGTCCCTCCACCATACTAAGCATGTTGTCTCTCTCCAAGGACCTGTCCCTTCTTACAACATGTCCCAAGTATGTCAGACGAAGCCACAGAATCCTTGCCTCCAAGGAGTAGCTTGGTTTAACCCTCTCCAGGATGAATCTGTTTGTTTTCCTGGCAGTCCAGGGTACATTCAATACTCTTCTCCAGCACCACAGCTCAAAGGCATCAATTCTCCTTCTATCCTCCCTAGTCATTGTCCAACTCTCTGAAGCATAACAAGACCATGGCCTGTATCAGGCGCACCTTAGTCTCCAGAGAGACACCGTTGCTCTTGAGTACTTTAGAGAGGTCCCTAACAGCAGACTTTCTCATCACAATATGTTTTTTGACTTCCTGGCTGCTGGTGCCAAGAGTATTGACAATGGAGCCGAGCAAACGGAAGCTGTGAACAATCTCAATCTCTTCGCCATCCATCCTGATGCTGCCAGTTGGTCCAGTGGTGAGAATCTTTTGTCTTCTTGACATTGAGCCTCAGTCCATACTGAAGGCTGTAGTCCTTGACCCTCTGCAGCAAGCATTTCAGGTCCTCTTCAGTTTCAGCAAGCAGAGTTGTGTCATCTGTATAACGCAGATTGTTAATAGATCTTCCACCAATCCTGAGGCCACACTTCTCATAGAGCCCAGCTTCTCGGATAATCTGCTCTGCATACAGGTTGAAAAGGTACGGAGATAGAACACATCCCTGGTGTACACCCTTCCCAATTTTGAACCATGCAGTGTTACCCTGCTCTGTTCTGACAACTGCCTCTTGGTCCAAGTATAGGTTTTGCATTAGCACGATTGAATGTTCTGGGATTCCCTTTCTTCTCAGCCACAGTTTGTTATGATGCACACAGTCAAACGCCTTTGCATAGTCAATGAAACACAGATATACATTCCTCTGGTATTCCCTGCTTTCAGCTAAGATCCATCTAACATTAGCTACAATATCCCTAGTACCACAACCCCTTCTAAACACAGCCTGGACTTCTGGCAGTTCTCTGCTGATGTACTGTTCCTGTCGTTTTTGGATAATTTTCAGTAGAATCTTGCTTGCATGTGAAATCAATGATATTGTTCTATAGTTTCCACACTCAGTTGGGTCACCCTTCTTTGGAATGGGAACAAATACAGATCTCTTCCAGTCAGTTGGCCAACTGGTTGTTCTCCATATTGCTGTGGACTACACCACCACAATTCCTTGTTACTATGACAAAAGAACCCTCCTCAACAGGATCTGCTAAAAAGATTGCTGACCTCCACTTGACAGTCACTCTTTCCAGTCTTTCTCAGGAAGCATTCTGACAGTATCTTCTGAATCCCAGCCTCGGATGACTTGACAGCAGCAGGCTGGATAGGTGGTTTTGCATGTTTTTACTGTCTCTGCACATGAGATTATGCTAGCCTAGGAGGACTCTGCATCGGTGGGCAGACCTGGTGATGGTGGATTCTGTGTGACAACACGACTGTGATCTTCCATGTAGTCTAGCCATCCTATGTGTTGTAAATGCTCATCCCTGTGGTGCTAATGAGGCAAGATCAGATATGGCACTGGGTGATCAGCTATGTGATGTTGGAGTCTCCTCAGCTAGGTGGCTTGTACTGAATGTAGGTGTAGGTAAAGGCAATGCCACAGAGCTTTGTGTTCAATCCTGCATCTGGCTTGTGACCTCTAGACTTGAACCAGAAGTCTGCAGCACTTGCTGACCTAAATTCAGCCTCCTCAGATGCCTCTCTCCTGAGAGCTGCCCAAAGACCTGGGACTTGTGAGCCACTATAAGTATGTGGGGGAGAAAAGAATGACAGAGGAATTCTCGATGTCTTTGAGTTGTGATGCTGGATAAGAAGACTGAATATTCATCCCATGGAAGCCAAAAGAACAAACAAGCCTGTCTTGGAGGCAGTGCGGCCCAGATGGTGATGGTGAAACTTTGTCTAATACATTCTGACCATATTGTCAGGAGGGGCAAGTCCTTGGAAAGGGACACTATTTTGGGAAAGGTGGAGTATCAAAGAAAGGAAAATTCCCAAGAAGATGGATTGACATAGTGATTACATCAACAGACACGAGCATATCAGAGATGGTGAGGATATCACAGGATAGTACATTATTCAGATCTGTTGTTCAGAGGGTTGCTACTTATTGTAGTTGACTTGAGGATACCTAGCAACAGGTGAGCCATTTCTTTGCAATAAATCTCTCTCTACTACACTTAGGGAAGCTCTGGTGGGGTAGTCTATAAAGAATTTTGCTGTCAAATCAAAGTCCCTGCACACTTGTGGTTCAAATTCACCAGCAGCTCCATTGAAAAAGATAAGAAATCTTCCCCTGTGTGATTTACAGCCTTAGAAAGCCAATGGAGGGTCAGCTATGAGGAAGCCCCAACCTTTAACAATAAGACACAAATTAAACTGGCCTCATTTCTCTAAGAACTCGGGCTAATACAAATTTCTTTCACTTGCTTTATGGAGCTTGGCATACAACGTAAAATGAACAATGGTTACTAAGGTACATACAGTAAAAAAAACCAAAACCTCCCATTCAACTACTTCCAGCTCACACTGACCCCATATGCATCTGACAGGCTGTGCCCACTGGGTCTCCAGTGCCTGACTCTGGAAGCTCTATCACCAGGTCTCTTCAAGTACTGAATGAACTCGAATCACCAACCCTGCAGTCAGCTGTCAAGTATGCCAAGCATTTGTGCCACCTGGGGCGCCATGTGTCCACATATGCTGCCATGATAGAAACCAACTAGTCAATCTCCTTGGGTAGAATGAAGGGCACTTCCCATTTCTTGCAATTATTAACAAAGCTGCAGTAATGCTTCCCATACACTGATATGGTGCTGCCCTTGGCGGTGATACCCCCCAATCTCAGACCTGTCAAGTGTACCCCTGGGGCCCCAACAGAGCCTGTACTGCAGGTATGGAGGTCTCTGTTCCTGCCTCCAGCAACATTTGGATCAGCTGTCTGTGCCTCACATGCAGGTCAGCCTAAGTGGGCAGCCATTCCAGGTGCTGAGAATACACAGGCCTCGTTGGGCCTGCTTAGCCTCCAGATGGAAGGAACTCAGAAAAGGGGGAAAGGGCAGCAGGGGCTCGACAGCAGTGTCACCTCATCATCTTTCCACTGGGAGAAGTCAATCTTGAAGGAGGGCAGGGAGAACTGCTGGCCCACTCCTCTCTTGTAATGGACAGTCTCGGACTGCAGGGCAGCACTCCTGGGGCTGTACCTGAAGGCAGCAAAGGAGAAGGGAGAGGTGAGGTTCTGCCAACACATTCACCCCCAGTGCTCAATGGGCCTTTCTGGCCAGTAGTCTCCCAGCACTCCCTCTGATATAGAACCTCCACATGGGAGCCATTCCTTAGGCTTCTTTGGAGACAGGGCAGCACTCTCCCACAACTGTAAGGACACGGCCACTGTGGGTGAGAATGACCAGGGCCACAGTTTGTCCCGAAAGCCCAGCTGCCACTGACTCATCCAGTGGTCATACAGCAAGACTACAATTATACAGCGGTCACATAGCAGGGCCAACGGTCACACAATGGGACTATGATCATACAGTGGGACCAAGTTCACACAATAGTCACAAAGCAGGACCCGTGGTCAGTCACATAGTGGGACTACAGTGCACAGTGAAGAAGGATCCCCAACCTGGACACCCATCCATGCACACACATGCATTCATGTGACACATACATACATTTACACAACATGCACACACTCACATGACAAATGCAAACATGCACAAATATATGGGGAAGCCTAGCTTCCATCGTCCACCAGCACACACAGCAAACCCAAGCCCTCACCTCCTCATGGGCTTGGTAGTGGCTGGTAACAACCCTACACAGAGATGGAGAGAGAGACAGACAGACTGAATGACTGATTGACTCACTCACACGGCCATGCCGTTGAGGAACTCCTCAGTGGCCTGGCAGTAGATAGTGACAGCCACTCGGGCATCAGCATCAAAGGTGAACTCCAGGCTGTAGAGGACCCGGGGCTTCTCATTCTCTTCTGTGGGGCTCTCAACATCATCTTTGTACCTGAGAGAGGTGCAGGGTCACGGATCAAAGACAGAGGGGCTTTCAGAACAACCACCTGGACACACAACCGTACAGTCATCTGAATGAGGCCCAGGGCTCCAGGTTCCCATCCAACCCTGATCCAGAGGAGAGGATAACCTCTTGGTGCAGAGATGCACCAGGCACCTCAAACCTACACTGCTGATGCTAGTCACCTCCTCACCCTGGTGGTATACTGGACACTGCAGCACGTGGGGTACTGAGACAGCACCTGTCTTGAAACAGGAGTTCTAGTTTGGCAGGAGGTCCACTGTCACAATCTCTGACCAGTAGGGAGCACGGTTCAGTGTGGCCACTGACCTCAAGGACTGCTGTGTGTATAGGACTCAGAGCTCCTGGATCAGTACTGGCCTTAGACCATGACCTCAGGGAGGGCAGGAGGACGTAAGATTTGAGACATATCCCCATGTCATCCTTACCTGGCCTGCTGGGGGCTATTCCACCACACCTGGTTCTGAGACTTCTGGACTGGGCAATCTCATGTGGTCACATGAAGGCTGGAAGGGACCTGAGTCCCTTAAACCTATCTCCCAGCCTTGACAAGACCTGCTGTTCTGAATCATTCCTTGGGGTGCAGATAACCTCAGCACTGCAGGACCCTAAGCTGCATCTCTAGCCTCCACCCACCAGCTGCCAGGAGCACTCTGGTCCCAGCCATGTATCCAGATCTCGCTGCTGCCCCCCGCCCCCAACCCGGAGCACAAAGTCCTCCACGAGAGAGCCTGGGCTAGAGCAGAGTTCCACAGCAAGTCTCTTCCCTCCCTGTCCCTGCTGATCCTTTGCTGCCTCCAGCCTCCTGAGGAGGTGACAGAAGAGGAGCAGCAGATGGGCTGCCCATTCCTACACAGCCCTCTTTACCTTATGAGCCGCAGGGAGTCCTTCCGGATGTTCACCAGGCTCCTCAGTGTCTTCACCGGCTCGTGGGGGGCAGGGGTGACATAAGGAAACTAGGAGGGAAACCCACAGAGGCCTGGGTGACTCCCTGGGGTGTGGCAGAGTGACTGTGGAAGGGACCTCAGGCACTGAGGGCTGTGCTATGACCACATGTATACACGTAAAGAAAACAGCTCTGGGACGTAAGTCCAGGGATACGTGAGACAAGACAGACAGGGATGGGCTTAAAGAAAACAGCTCTGGAACGTAAGTCCAGGGATACGTGAGACAAGACAGACAGGGATGGGCTGCACACAACAGGAGCTGGGTCCCCTTGGTCAGCACAGCTCTGGGGCAGGACCTCTTCCCACTGGGCGCTGGGCTCAGCCACGGAACCCCTGGTCCCCCGAAATCCCCTGTTCCATCTCCTGTAGTGCCTAGCTCATCAAGATGGCAAGACGTGCCCATGTCCCCATGACCGGAGAGAGGCTGAGGCACACAGCAGGAGTCCAGAGCAGACAGAGCACCTGGATGGCCAGGGCAAGATGATGACAACTTAACCAAAAGGCTAAGCTTGTCAACCTGGGCTTTCTCCTCCCAAAATGTGGCAGGACAAAAGTTGATGATCCATGACCACAGAGTCAAACACTAACTCAACTGCCACTAAGTCAGAACCAACTCATAGCTGGTGATTCTAAGAACTCTGGGGGTTCTCAGAGACCATAGAAGGAGATGGCCTATTTCCCCTCATGATTACAACTACTGAAAAACTCATGGAACACGGCTGTACTGTGACACCTCTGGGTCACCATGAGTCTAAACAGGCTTAGTGGCAATGGCTTTGCTCTGTGGGTTTGGAGAAACATAGCCAGGGTGCTCCCTAGAAACAACAACAGTAAGATTGTCTCACGCACACACTAATTATGTTGTCAGGGGATACTTGAGAGTCAGCAAAAACAGATGAAGACCTCCAACAAGATGGACTGGCTGCTATATCAACAGTGACCTCACACACACCTGGGACTGCCAGGATGGTGTGTGACCAGGGTGGGTTTTGTAGTTGCCCATGGGGTTGCTGTGGGCATGGGTCTTTGTTGGCACTAACATTCACCCACGACTGGCCCTCCTCTTTGACACATACGTTCTTTTGTTTTTCTTAAAATAAGAACCCATTCCCTCGAGCTTTGCCTGCCCCGAGCTCCTCTGTCCCTGGCAGCCAGAATGCAAGGGTAGTGAACCCCTCGGGAATCCCAGGGAGTGGCTGGATACAACAGTCCCAGAGCTGCATAAGGCAAGGCACAGGTACCGTGGAATTTAAAACAAAAAAAAAGGGGGGGGGGGGGGGGCAATCTTCTCCAGGGTGATTCACTGCCTCCAAAAACCCACTGGAGGATTAGCTATGCATTAACAAAAAAAAAGGGGGGGGGGGAGTAGAATATAATAAAAGTAAGAATCCAAGCTCACCCACAATCTGGGCATGCACTCCCTCACCTCTGCAGCCTAGATATGCTGCTGGGCTCAGAACGGAGATCTGCTCCTTAGTGCCCTACCCTCACAGCCCTGTTGTCACAGTGACCAAAGAACTCATCTACAAATAAGAAAGGTTAATGATTCAAACCCACCAGACACTACAAGGCAGAAAGATAAGGATGTATTCTGCTTCTCTAAAGACTGAAGACTTGAAGATCCTAAAGACTAAAGGCTTGGAGAACCTAAGAAGATCCCCCTTGTCCTACAGAGTCTCTGGGAGTCAGAATGGACTTGATGGCAGCATGTAGCTATTTGCCTCCACAATCCTGGTGGTGCAGTGTGTATAAGCACCCAGCTGCCAGCACATCAGTTGTAGAGAGAGATGGAGTCCTCTAGGGTAACAGTGCTCTGCCCTACCAGGTGGTCAGGGGTTTCTCTGGCTTGTAATTAGCCTGCCTCCCCAGTTCTCTAGCCTCTTGGGGCACCCGACACATGCTCAGCCCAGAGCTCACCAGTTTTAGGGTGACCCAGTGCCTGCACCCTCAATGCTGGAACACAGAGAATGCCAGGCATCTCTGGTATATGGACACCCCTGCCCCTGCTCACCTGGACTGGACGGCTACCCAGGAAGTTCAGATCCGAGTTCTCGCCAAAGAGGTAGCCTTCGGGGTGGGGGGTGTCGAACTTCTCACCGCCCATGAAAAAGTGTGAGGCAAAATAGTTTCCTGTTGGAACAGAAGACAAGAGTTCAGATGGAGACTGATGAGGCCCCTGGAGCCAGGCAGAGGGAGTGCTGGCTGGGAGTAGAGAGGCCCTGCCCTGAGAAGCCCCTGTGTCTAGAACAGTGGAGTGGGAGTTGGCCGGCAAGCCACTCATCTGACCAGCCCTGCCCAACCACCGACCCTGAGCCCAGAGAACAGCCCTTGGTTCTCAGTGGAACTCCTGGCCCCTCCATGGACCTGCTCATCCTTTCTGTGAGCTCAGCCAAGTCTCTAAAGGTCAGGCCAGGGACCCCTCCCAGAGCAGAAGACCTGGAGTCCCAACTCACCCCATGAACTAGAAACCAAGCAACACCAAATACAGCCAGCGAGTGAGCGAGAGAACTTAGTGCCACTTAGTCCCCACATACTCGTCAGTCAGCCAGAAGGCTGTCAGTTCACATCTACTCAGAGGCACCTTGGAAGAAAGGCTTGACAACTGACTTTTGGAAAATCAGGCTTCTTCTGGAGCAGTTGTCCTGCAGCAGGTGGGTTCATCACCAGCTGACATTGGTCAACAGCTACAGGCTATGACAACTCCCACAAACGCTAACTATCAGACCATGTGCACAGACAAGGCCCCCAGGCGCTGGGGGTTGGTGTGAAGTTCCTAATGGAAAGGCTGGCAGTAGAAAGAGGCATCCATCACTTCCAGAAAACGTTACAGTCTGGGGAAACTTATGGGACAGTTCTCCTCTGTCTTAATGTCCACAGAATACAAACTGACCCAGCAGCAGTAGGTATGGATCTGGAGCTTAGACCTAGAACTGTATATAGAAAACATTTAAGCACTAGGTTATCATCTGAAATGATGGAGGTTCAAATCCACCTAAAGGAGCCCCAACAGAAAGGTGCTGCAAAAAGTTTCCAAAACAATCAGAGAACAATTAATTCTGCGCTAGCACACAGAAAAACACCAGAGTTAGGGTCAACTCAATGGAACTGGTTTTTTTAAAGTCTATAGTAAGTTGGGATTTCACATGCAAGCAAGATTCTACTGAAGATTATCCAAAAACGACTAGAACAGCACATCAGCAGAGAACTGCCAGAAGTCCAGGCTGGGTTTAGAAGGAGTTGTGGTACTAGGGATATTGTTGCTGATGTTAGATGGATCTTGGCTGAAAGCAAGGAATACCTGAAGAATGTCTATCTGTGTTTCATTGATTATGCAAAGGCGTTTGACTGTGTGGATCATAACAAACTGTGGCTGACTCTGAGAAGAATGGGAATCTCAGAACATTTAATTGTGCTAATGCAAAACCTTTACTTGGACCAAGAGGCAGTAGTCAGAACAGAGCAGGGTAACACTGCATGGTTCAAAACTGGGAAGGGTGTACGCCAGGGATGCATCCTGTCTCCATACCTTTTCAACATGTATGCAGAGCAGATTATCCGGGAGGCTGGGCTCTATGAGGAGAATTGTGGCATCAGGATTGGTGGAAGATCTATTAACAATCTGCGTTATGCAGATGACACAACCCTGCTTGCTGAAACTGAGGAGGACCTCATGCACTTGCTGCAGAAGGTCAAGGACTGCAGCCTTCAGTATGGACTGAGGCTCAATGTCAAGAAGACAAAGATTCTCACCACTGGACCAATTGGCAGCATCAGGATAGATGGCGAAGAGACTGAGATTGTTCACAGCTTCAGTTTGCTCGGCTCCACAGTCAACACTCTTGGCACCAGCAGCCAGGAAGTCAAAAAACATATTGCAATGGGAAAGTCTGCTGTTAGGGACCTCTCTAAAGTACTCAAGAGCAACGGTGTCTCTCTGGAGACTAAGGTGCGCCTGATACAGGCCATGGTCTTTGCAATCGCTTGTTATGCATCAGAGAGTTGGACAATGACTAGGGAGGACAGAAGAAGAGTTGATGCCTTTGAGCTGTGGTGCTGGAGAAGAGTACTGAATGTACCATGGACTGCCAAGAAAACAAACAGATTCATCCTGGAGAGGATTAAACCAAGCAACTCCTTGGAGGCAAGGATTCTGGGGCTTCGTCTGACATACTTTGGACATGTTGCCAGGAGGGACGGGTCCTTGGAGAGGGACATCATGCTTGGGAGGGTGGAGGGACAGTGCAGGAGGGGAAGACCTTCTATGAGATGGATTGATTCGGTGACTGGGGTAATCGGGATGGGTGTGTCGGAGGCAGTGCGGTTGGCGCAAGATAGAGCAGGGTTTAGGGCTGTTGTGCATAGGATCACTATGAGTCGCAAATGACTCAACGGCACATAGCAACAACAACAACAACAGTAAGTTGGTGCTTGATGCTTCAAATACATTCCAACTCACAGTAACCCAACAAAACAAAACCTTGTCCAGTTCTATGCCATCCTCCAATTTTTACTATTTTTAAACCCATTGCTGCAGCTACTGCTGTCACTCCTTCTTGCTGAAGCTGTCATGGACTGAAGTGTCCTCACACTTACGAGTTGGCAATGAGTTTTGGTCTGTACATTATGGTGAGATGGCATCTGCCATGAAAGCTAACGTCATCGAGTTACAAAAGTACACACAAGAACTGTCCACGATGTGATCCCCTGCAAACAGGAGGAATCCAGTCTGGGAGAAGGGGAGGGAGTCTGGAAGTGGGAGTGTACAGTGCCACTAGGTCAGCCAGGACGTGCCTAGCATTCTCTGGAAAACTGCCCAACCCAGTGCAAACCACCACCGGACAGGGGTCAGGGCTTGGTTCCACCTGGCCTCCAGCCACCAAATCAGCGGATCAGAACTCATGGGATCAGAACTGAAAAGTATCTGGGAGATCCCTGTCACTGTGGATTTCCACTGGGGAAACTGAGGCTCTCAAGAGGATGCCACAGGTTCAAGGCCCCAGAGGAAATGACAGGTGGGGCTGGGTCAGCTTGGGACCAAAATTGCCAGCCCAGGGCTTGAGCATCACCCTCCCACCCTCTGAGGACCAGCAGACCAAGGGCCCCTCACCATGGCTCAGACATCATGTCTAGAAGGAGAACTGCTTTTCTTTTCAAGTACAAAACTCAAGCTTCTTCTAAAAAGCTAAACCCAAACCGCTGACACCGTGTGGATTCTGCCTCACAGTGCTCTGCAGAGGACAGAGAAGTCTGTCAGGGTTCCTGGTTGCACATCCCACCATCTCCCAGAGCAAGAGGGGGCTTAGAACTACTGACCTTTTAGTTAGCAGTTGAATACTTAACCATTTGACTATCAAGGGTTCTTAATATGAAGTCTAATTGGTAACGCTTTTCTCCATCATCTCAGTGGAAGGGCAAGTTGTCAACAAAATTCTTTTCTAAACCAATCTACTTGTTGCCTGTCAATCGCAAAACCAAGTGACCCTGTTGTGTCCTGTGGAGTCAGCACTGACTCACTGCTGACCCTCTAGTGGGTTTTTTTTTTAATTTTTTTATTTTATTTTATTATTTTTGTGTGCGTGTACCGTCAAATCAGATCTGACTGGTACAGGAGGAGATTGCCCCTCCTTCCCCGGCAGAGCATCTGGTGGATTCGAACCGTGCACCTCTGGGATTGTAGTTGCAGCTTCTTGCCACTAGGCCAAAAGAGCTCCCTATCCAGTGGGTTTTCATAAGCAGTCATACGCATGGGAAGGGTCTACCTGTCTTTCTTCTGTGGAGCAGTGGGTGGATTCGAACCATATGTCTTTAATTTGGCAAGGGCAGTTTACTAAGGAGCCCTGTAGGTCTGAGTAAGCTGCCCTATGGGGTTTCCAAGGCTATAAATCCTCGGAAAAGCTCATCTTTCTCCCTTGGAGCAGCTGATGGATATGAACCACTGACCTTCAGCTTGTTCCACCCTCTTAACCACTGTGATGCCAGGGAAGGACACAGCTAAGCTGAGCTGTGACATGAGAATAAGCAGTGAGCAAGAGGCATGGGGTTACACAGTGGGGACTGCAATACACTATAAAACAGAATGTGCGTGAACGGCTGAATGGGAAAAACAATGTGCTCTGTAAACCTGCACTCAAATCATCATTTAAAAAAATAACAAACAGTAGCAAAGAAGCTGCACTACAATCCCAGAGATACGCAGTGCCTTGCCACTCAGTGCTAACCTGTGGTCACTACCCATCAGATGCCAACAAAACTTACCACCACCACTACCACCCCCGCTGAGGGGTGAGAATAGAAACTGCCTCCACACACAGCCAAGTGTCCTCCCAGAGAGAACACAGACCTCATCCTCAGCTAGAATCACCAGGAGAAGCATTGGATCAGTAATAGATCAAAGCACAGAAACCAACACTTTTTTATGAACAACTGATTTTCCCTTTAACTTTTTATTGTGAATTGGGTAACAGTCAACTAATTTTGGACAAAGGCCCGAAGGTAACTGATGGGGAGAAGGGAAGTTTCAACAAACTCAACTTAGAGACTCAAACTCAGACCATACAACACACACAAATGAAATAACTCAACCAAAATCAAAATAACTCAAATCTTGTCATGGTCAAGTCAGAGCCAACTCAGAACTGACCATCTGTCAAGTTCCTGAAGAGGTTGTAAATAGCACAGAAGGAGATTATCCACCTTTCTTCTGAGGAGCAAAAGGTGGGTCCAAACTACCAAAGAGGTGCTACCTTCGGGTTTGGAGTGCAACTCTACATGGACTAGGCTGCCAAAGCTCCCTATAAACATCAATGAAAAGAAAAATCACCAAGAAGAAAACCCCTAGGCCATCGTTCGGATCATGTACAAGGAAAAGATATCTCAGATGGGACTCTAAAAGTATGATCCATAAAAGAAAAGAATAAATGGGGCTTCAATTTGTCAAAATTCAACCCAATGACAGACAATAAGGTAAAAGAACAGCTGGATGGTGCAGTCTGGTTGGGCTGCTAACTGGACTGCCAGTTTGAATCCTGGGAATGCCGAAAGTTTCCCATAGAGATGTGGAGGCTCAGAAAACTGACAGGGGGCTGCAGGAGGGGTAGGGGTGGGGGGGAGGGAGTATGCTGCTGTTAAGA